TAAAGTCAAATTACGTTTCCATTAAAAGTATAAGTATTTTAAGTAAATAAAAATTCAAAGGTAAAGAGGCTTTAACACATAGTTTAATGGGGGAGCTAAGGTTGCCATATTTATGGAGGGGAGTGTATCTATGAAGGGTGAAGGGCAATGCACTGCAGTATATTACATTTGAATATATTGTGAAGTATGTCGTAGATCTTCTATTTTTGTTATATGTTTCCTCAGTACTAAGAAATTGAAGAGATGCTTAGGTAATGTAACGTAGCAATTTTTTTTATTAATTCTTAGAGACCAAATTTCAAGGAAACCTTTGCTATTTTAGATATTTGAAATGTTTTCCTAGAAAATAACAATGAAGTTGTATGAATTTGTCGAAACCTAAAATCTGAAATATTTTGAAAAAGTGGCATAATTTTAAAACAATCAATTTCATTAGTAATTGTAAGTTATAGGCTCTAACTTTTTTGTTGACAGTGTTCCATATGCATTCAGAGGTCAGCGTTTGGCATCTGTAACAAATGGCAGGTGGTGATACTTTCCATGTTAATGCCTTGTTGTATATTTATGTTAGCAGTTAGTTAATAAGTTGATCACTGTTATTTTAGGTTAGTCAATTGACAACAGACTAGATAGGTTACTATCTTTTTAAATCAAATTTCAAAGAAAAAAGCTACAATTTATATTTTTCTAGTGTTACTTTTGGTATCATATCTAGGATCTTGTCAACTACACGACCTTTAATCTTGTGTGTGATTTCACATAATGGATTTGTCTTATTTTTAATGACAAATATAGGTTGACTTCACCATGTTTAAGTCATCATGCACTGTTCCTATTACATTTATAAAAAAAACTACCCTGGTTAATGTGTCAGAGACCTGTTCACGAAATAATTTGCAATGAAAAATTTATTCAAATATAAAGCTCTTTGATATCTGTTGAAACACCTTAACCTAATTTTACATCATTTAGATTTAATTTTGCCTCAATCTAATCTCCCAACTTTTGCATTTCTGTAATTTGCATAAAATTTTCCAGCACTAATTAGTTTTCAATGAGTACTTGTGGCCCCTTATTTGTATATTTTTTAAACGATTTTTTGTTTGGATTTGAATTTGTATACTAGTGTGGATCCGATTACACTCCGTTGCTACCCTATTATTTTACTTTATATTACATTAAAGTCTTTGTAAGTTGATTTATGGGTATGGAATATTTCATGTGCTCGAGCCGTGTTCTATTAGAAGGTTCAGGGTCATGCATGTTAAATAACTATATAAAAAACGTGGTGTCACAAAATAGGTTTTTCGGGAAATTGTTTGGCATTCCTTTGTTAATTGTATATGCAAAAAGTACCTGTATAAAAATAAACTATTCTCCAAAAAAAATTTTGTAATTAACAATGGTTGTTTTTAACAAGGATGTCTTTGCTTATTGCTTACCCCCCCCCCCCTCCATAAATGTGAGCCTGAATTGCAAGTAGCAGTTTTTATCAGTCATGAAAATGTGAAAAATGTATTTCAAATAACTAACATGCATAGGCTGAGGTAGAAGTAGTGGTAAACACAATATAAAAGATCACATGTAGACACTCGGGCCCCGGGATAGATAACCTTGAGCGAATCATATCCCCAAATCTACTCTTAGTCTATCTGCCCAGAATCTTTTGTAGTGTTGTTCAAATATATATCATTTTTCTTAACACTCTGATGATACTGCATAAAACAACAACCATAGATATCTGCATTTGCCTAGCAAGTTGATACTTGTGACAAAGTGATTTGATTGGTTAAAAAAGAAGTTGTCATTGATTGTGGTTAGCAGAGACCAATGAAATCACTTGTTTTAAATGTACATTTTTCCTTGAGAATCAACTTGCTTTAAGCAAATGTATCCAAAATTTCTAAAATTCTCTCTTTAATGCCTGGGTCACATTTGCCGCATTTGCCGGCGCCCAGCCAATCGATTATTTTGTTCAAAATTGAATACATTTCTGAACAAAATACTCAATCGGTGGGGCGCTATAGTGAAAATCGGAGCAAATGTGACCAAGGCATAAGACAGCATTATTCAATCTTTATCATCTGACCCAGGGTTTCAATCATAATCATAATGAAAGAATTACAAATCTATCAACTCTCTATCAACTGACCATTGCTATTGCTGATATATATAATGTTGGAATCACTATGTTTAAAATGGTCTCAGAGAAGTTGTCCTGTCCACCTCAGCCTATACTAACATATATGCCCATGTAATGCCAGATTGAAAATAACCAAAAAAGAATCTGGTGTAAATTAACAAGTTGGAGGATTGACTACTAAGAATTCCTGACTCTTGGGCCATACTTTGTTCATTGTTTTCAAAGACCAAAGGTTTGGCAGGGAACTCTGGGAACTAGTTTTCATTGTTATCAGTCTAGCTAGGTACTACCTATTATCACCAAGATCACGATGACCTGCTTATTATCATATATTTAGTAAACATTTGTTAACCAGAGTTTTATACTTTGTCACTGATAAGGGCAAGACCAGGATCAGCTAGATTTTATTTATTTATTTTTTGTGTTATATAAGATCTCTGTGTTCTATTCTGTTCTATTATCAATTAGGAGAGGGGAATTTTTTTTTCAAGTTTTCTTTGATTGAGTTTGTCTCACACTCTATATATTTCAGATAAGTGCTTTGAACTAATTCAGCTAATCAAAGTTTGTTGTTCCGCACATTTTGGTTTGAGGGTCAGCAATAGATATTGTTAGTGTCTTGAGTTACATGGTCCACATGTGTAGCTTATTGGTATCATCATCAGGATGTATAAGTTTGTCTCATTTACTCACCAGTTGCTTTCTGTATTCATGAGGGTCAGTATCTTTCGATATTTATGCTGTTCATTTGCTTTCTACATTTATGCTGTTCATTTGCTTTCTACATTTATTAGGGTCGGTTGCTTTCTATTTTTATGAGGGTCAGTTGCATTAAGGAGGGTCAGTTTCTTTGTATATTCATGAGGGTCAGTTGCTTTCTATATTTATGAGGTTCATTTCCTTTCTACATTTATGAGGGTCAGTTGCTTTCTACATTTTTGAGGGTCAGTTGCTTTTCTACATTTATGAGGGTCAGTTGCCGGGTCAGTTGCTTTCTACATTTTGAGGGTCAGTTGTTTCACATTTATTAGGGTCAGTTGCTTTCTATATTTATGAGGGTCAGTTGCTTTCTACATTTATGAGGTTCATTTCCTTTCTACATTTATGAGGGCCAGTTGCTTTCTACATTTATGAGGGTTAGTTACTTTCTATATTTATGAGGGTCACTTGCTTTCTACATATTTGAGGGTCAGTTGCTTTCTACATTTATGAGGTTCAATTCCTTTCTACATTCATGAGGGTCAGTTGCTTTCTATATTTATGAGGGTCAGTTGCTTTCTACATTATATGAGGGTCAGTTGCTTTCTACATTTATGAGGGTCAGTTGCTTTCTATATTTATGAGGGTCACTTGCTTTCTACATTTATGAGGGTCAGTTGCTTACTGCATTTATAAGTGTCAGTTGATTTCTGCAGTTATAAGTGTCAGTCGCTTTCTGCAGTTATAAGTGTCAGTTGCTTTCTGCAGTTATAAGTGTCAGTTGATTTCTACAGTTATAAGTGTCAGTTGCTCTTGACATATATGAGGGTTGGTTGTTTTCTACATTCACAAGGGATAGTTGGTCTCAACATTCATGGAGGTCAGCTGCTTTTTTTTTACCTTTACAATTGTGGAGCTTGCTCAGCATTGTAGAAATTGAGAATGTCACAGTCATCTTAGGTGCAGTCAGTGTGTGAAGGTTGTTTTTTAATACCATTGTTAGAAGTGACATTGAAAAAATATTGTTTAAAATCCTCCCAATCCTAAGGTTTAATGATAAGACTGGGGTTTATAATTCTAAAAAGAAAAAGATTCAAATAAGCAAACTATAAAGAAATGTCAGGGACAAAAATAAAAAAAATGCAAAAAAACATTTTTAATTGATTTATAAAAAATATGAATAAAAGGGTTGATTATATTGATGATGAGATATATTTTAAGTACAAGCTGGGGGGTAAAAGGTAAGGAACCGATCTCCAAAAGTAGATGAATCATATTTCATCTCAAATATTTAATCTTTTCATTACAGTTTCAAAAGAAGACATGGGTATTATCATTATAGAGTTGTTTTTCTCAAATTCTTCAATTCTGAATATATGAATTCAAAACAATTTATGAAATTATTGGCATTTTTAAACCTATTGTCTAGTCTTAAGTGTTAAAGCTTAATACAAGATCATAAAAGGACTTACAATCATTGACATTTTTATTGAAATTTACCATGTTAAAGTGATTTTTTGTGTTTGGCTGATAGAGAAGAAAAATAGCTTTTATTTTCCCTTGAATAAAGTGAGAATGAAAATGATTTTTCTTGAATTATCGAAAACAAGTGAAATGTAAGAAAATAACTACAGAATTTAGAAAATAACAAACTTATTTTATTATCATATAATTGTAAAAACTCCTAAGTTTGATCTCGGATTTCACAGAATAAAGAAACAGTCGCAGCGGTTGTAAAATCCTTTTGAGGGTTTGAAAGTGTTTTCTTAGTTTTTCATGGCCAGGGCTCATTGTGATCTGTGAGTTCAGGGTGCACTTGGCTGCTTGCGGAGAACCCCTTAGAAATTCATTCACGCAACAAATCAATGATCAAGTACAGGTCACGAAAATAGAATTTCCAATAGTTCAAACTGTGAATAGAATTTCAGCTGAGATCTTAGGATCGTCTGACACTGCACCAGGGAAGAGTCAGTGAAGGAAGACGTGTCTTTAGATCGGGAGATTTATTAACTGTCTCTCCAACAGTTCATCAATCATCTGCAGTCACAGAAGTGTTGAATAGGAACTGTGTCACTGTGTCATTAATTATGACATCATTGACATACCATTATTTACAAAATCTGGATAATCTCTTATCAGATATTTATGTCTCTTATAGAAATTCTGAACGACGGAAGGAGAAGTCGCGAGATGCTGCTCGATCACGTCGGGGAAAAGAGGCGGAGGTGTTCTATTCACTGTCCAGCCAGATCCCCTTACCCCCCAGCACACGGGCTCAAATGGACAAAGCGGCTGTCATGAGGATTATACTCAGCTATTTGAAGATTCGACAAGTTTTGGGAGACTGTGAGTAACTTGTTTTTATATTCAAACTATTTCCAACTATTGTATCAAGTCTCAGAAATCAATGAGTCTCCAGTTAATTGGAGTTGGCAACTACCCCATGTAACGAAGTTTGACGTCAGATAGATTTGAGATTGCTCGAGACTGTGTTTAATTCTATTTGCATCACCTATAATAATCATAATTTTCATTCATCAAAATTTTGATTAACAGTGTTTTTGTATATATCTTTTTAGTTTTCAATTGTTGGGTTGTATACCTTTTCAGAATTAATAGTTGTTATTGACATACTAGTAATAAGTATAATTATAATCAAATTATAACTACCCAATAATAACTATTCAAATTATATTTATTCTACAGTTTCATACCTGTCTGAATTTTAAAATTGAGTTGCATTTCAGAAAACCTCAGAATATATATTTAGTGAGTTATTCTATTAGAACTCCAAATATTGAGTGTTTATTGAGTTGCATATCTTATTAATTGACATATATTATCTACATTTCTTTTTGATTTATTGTTGAATTGTCAAGATTATCTTAGATAATTGGTTGAGGTGAATTTCAAGGCATTTTCTTGTCATTATATCTTGGAAGTTCTTAGTTATAGCTGCATTAAGACAATGTTGATAGTGCCACATTGTTCATGGTGCCAATTTATTACATTGTTGATAGTGCCATATTGCTACATTGTTGATAGTGCCACTTTATTACAATGCTCATAGTGCCATATTATAACATTGTTGTGAATGTCATATTACTACCAGATAATTATATTGTTGAAAGTGCTAAATTATATATTAACAATGTTGATAGTGCCGTATTACTATATGGTGGCGCCATATAATTACATTTCTGATAATGCCATTAAATATATTGTTGATAGTGCCAAATTATTATTTTGTTGATAGTGCCATATAACTATATTGTTGATGGTGCCATATTTCTACATTGGTAAAAGTACCACATAACTACTTTGTTGATAGTGCCACAGTAATTTATCAATTTGATTATTACTCACTTGTTTTTCATTTCGAATTCAAAATTTAATTGTTCATTATTTCTAAATATTGTTTTCATAAGTCTTTTGCACATTTCTTGAATACACCATTCCTTCTTTTGTTTTATATAAAACAGGAGCTTTTCATATTTCTGCTGTGATTATTAATTTAGACGCAGTTTGTCATTATTAGACATTGGCATTTGTTGATAAAGTGTTGTTCTAATATTGACATTGAAGTTGATGAGTAATCTAAAAGCTAAGCTAAAAAAAAAGTTCTACTATTAACTATCTACATAGTCATTTAGGTCCAAATTTGACAAAATCTGTTCAATTAGTACGATCGATGAAACTTGAACGATAATCTCTTGAAACTTTTAAGAAATAATTATTTTTGTAATGTTGAATGTAATGATCAGCCTCTGAATATTATTTTCCAATTAATTTAATTTCTTCAAAATATAATTACTTTAATTGTAAGTATGTAAGCTGATATTTCTTCATATAGTTCTAACATGGCCTTCAGAACACAAGTGCTATTTAACAGAAATCTATAGTCTAATATCATTTTGCTTTAATAGACTATATCAAAGAGTAGTTATAACCTTTTGGGGTTATATTCCTAGTCTCGTGTCAGGGTCACTTCTAAGTGTTATACTTTTATCTTATTGAAATCATATTTGTTATTTTAGATTTGACTTTTTGATATTTGATCTTGACCTTTACCTTGACCTTAGGTATCTTATATTACTTTATTTTGTGAATGAATCTAACTATTTACCTGACCTATACCCCAGTGCTACGTTGAGGTAAGAATTAATCTAAAGAATTTTGATTCCCACTTGGAATCTGCTTCCATTTAGTCGAGCTACAAGTGTTTCGCTGACAGCCTATGCATACAGGCGGTTTAATTGAAAACAAGATATTCTGACACCTTCCAGGCGTAAAACCAAATCAAAGTGAAAAACTCTGCAAAAAACGAGAAATCAAATCTCGATATAAAAGTAATGAGTTTACAGTTTTTCAACAAAATCAAACCAGAGAGTTTGTTCGTATTAGTCTTTTGATTAATGGATTATGCAAATTTTGATTCAATGAGTGCCACCCAGCCTTATAGGTCTAAGATTACGCCTTATCTGAAGTGACTACCTGCGATATGAAAGTATGATATTGTAAAGGTGAAAATGTGGATTAGAAATTGATAACACACAGATTGAATTCTGACACCCCAGTCCACACCTTTCACCACACACTGTGCAGTTACCAAACTCACTCGCAACAATTACGGAATAATTGCTATTTCATATTGAAAAATAATACACAGTATATCTGCTTTATTTTGATGCTGCTCTTCGCCCTATTAAGGCCCTTTTGGGATAAAAAAAACTAAAGAAATGATGAAAAATTAGCTCATTTAAGATTTCTCCGTAGATTTACCTGAAGAGGGTGTTTTTACATTTACGCCAAGGGTGAATGTCTAACAGGGCTTGATTGCGTCTCATACTTGAACTTCTTGTTCTGAGTTGTTGATAGAAAGTACAACTATCTGATAGTTCTGCATAAACATTTTGAAACTTTTCAGATAAAGAAAGTTTGGCATCAAAAATCTTCACATGCGATTTGGCTGATTCAGTTCATAAAAATTCAGATATGGTGCAAGTATGCCACGTTTCTCATCGAACTTCTGATTCAATTATGCATAAATACTTTTACTGACTAATAATGAAAATTCATTTCCATTATGTGCAATATATGAATGGTGCAAATGAAAGCGGAAAAGTCAATTTGATACCTAGGCAACTGGAATCAACAGAAGTCACAAAATAATGAATATGTAGCCTGGTAATTAACCTGAGCTGAGAGCAGAGTGCAGAGTACTACTAATGGTCAATGCCCTCTGAATTTGTTATACAATACACAAGTACTTAGTTCAGGGGTTTCACTAGAATTTCTCATAACAGGCTAAATAAATGAAAACAGCAGGCATAATTAATGGAAATCATGAATTTAACATGGAAAAGTTGAAAAGTCCCTAAAAACACCAGGCAATTTTGTGAAAACAACTGGTGAAAATTGCCTGTTGCCTGCTGCTAATGAAACCCCTGTAGTTTAAATAACTGTTTACTTTGTTGAAAAAATGATTTTTTTAAGAAAATGATCCATGCACAATTTGGTAACCACTCCCCATTTAACCAAAGGTGGTTAATTATTCATGTATATGCAAATACGAGACAGCGACTTGTTATTAGATAGTAGGATAATCCTAAACAGATTCATGTGACATCATTTCTTGTTGCATATATGAGCTTGAAAAAGAGTCAGTGATGTTCCTTAATTTTACAAAACCTAGGTGAGTTGGTGTATAGTTCAGAAGCAAATTGTTCACCACCTATTAACCAATGAGAATATTTCAATTGATTGAGCACAATTTTTTATATTTTGACACATCTACTTTCAGGTAAGAAAAAAAGCAAAAAATTGAAAAAAGTTAATGAGAATATTTCAATTGATCGAGGTACAAGTTTTTGACACGTCTACTTTCAGGTGAAAAGTACATCCCAGAAGTGGAAACACTTGAGACAAAGATTGACCATCAGTATATCAAGGCCCTTGATGGCTTTGTGATGGTAATGTCATCCGAGGGGGATATGTGGTACCTCTCTGAGTCGATCTCTAAACACCTTGGACTCACACAGGTAAGATATAGTATTTAAGTTAGTGATCTCCCAAGGATTTTTGCTCAAATTGGTGCAAAATTCCAAAATTCATAATTCTGGCCAAAATTGGTCAAACTATGCCTGTGTTGTGATTTTTCTGATTTTCAAGGGGTGAAAATGCTTTTTCAAGGAGTTGGCAGTGCAAGTCTGTTTTCGGAATCTCAAAAAGTTAAAGGGTTCGCTTCACCATAGTGTCCAAGGGTATTTCACATTTTTCAATATGTATTGAGGAATAAATGAAGCCCTTTGAATGAAGGATGAGGTGTCATACAAAATCTAAGATGCAATTGTCTTCTGTATGTATTCAGGTCAAACCTTATTATCCCAGTCATCTTATCACACTTTCTACAATCACTCTTTCTACTTTTGACTAAATAGTCAAGAATTCTCAGATTGATATCAAACAATATTGTCAGAGATTCTCAAAGATTGTGTAAAACAGTAACGTTTAGTATTCAGTAGATAATAGATAGGAATTCTCAAAGAGTGATATAAAACGATATAATTAGAGATTCTCAAAAAACTGGAAGTTAAATTTTTATCGGAAATACAATTAAATTTATTGTTATTCTGAGTAAATGTGTTGAAATGAACAAAACAAGATGTTTTCTAGTTGTTTACGATTAAATGAGCGATGATTACCTTCTCTTACAAAACATGTTTTTTTCTATTGGTTATTACTCTAATAATCAATCATTTGCGTAGATGTTACATTGTCAATTTATTACCTTCATTTAAGCATGTTCCCTGGAGGTTTAAACATTTTTGAAATAGTATTTAGTCTAGCCCTTTCTCAAATATAGTTTTCTGAGATTCCAATAGGTAACAAAATATATTAAAACTTTTAAAGCCATGTTTTAGTGTGTTTTTCTGAGCAAGAGACAGTATTTGACAAAAATGACAAGGCACTTCCTCCATTGAATCCCATGTAAAAGTCAGATTTTCACCTCAGAACACACTTTTGAAGATTGAACTTTTTTCTTAAAACTCACAGTTATACTTAGTTATGAATTGTGATTTATATTTTGAAAAGAAAAATTAAGGGTTAGCAGGGGGTTCATTAGCAGCAGGCAACAGGCGATTTTCACCGGTTGTTTCCACAAAATTGCCTGTTGTTTTTAGGGACTTTTCAACTTTTCCATGTTAAATTTATGATTTCCATTAATTTTTCCTGTTGTTTTCATTTATTTAGCCAGTTGTGAGAAATTCTAGTGAAACCCCTGGGTTAGTATTCATCACTTTCAATTTAGTGTCCAGGGGACATCCTTAAAGAGCACAAGAGGCTTATTGAGTCTTTTGAGATTGATGTGAATAATTACAAATATCATTTAAAATTCCTATTGACATAAGGCCAGATGCAAAAATTCCATTCATTTTTGATTGCTTGAAAAAACAAATTGTTATTCTCCGGTTACAATTCGATTTTCAAGTGCAGTGTAACCGTTTGCTGTTATTGAGTAGGAAGTCCCTATCGAAGAATAATAAGCTCCATGCTTAAATCACGTGTACATTTCATATTGTCGTTTCAATGCTTTTCTGGCATTTCTTTTTATAATCAAATGTCTCAATGCCATCTCTGTCAATGCTATTCATCCTTATTCAATTTAGTCGTCTTGGTTTTGGATTCCATATATTGACAGACACGTGATTTAATCATGGCTTAGCTGATCAGATCGGCAAATAACAGGTTGAGAAGTTGAAGACCTATCGATATTTACAAGCCAGACATAGGTATTCCAAATATAGAAATCTGATTGGTCTGATTGATCAATTTAGTATTGAACTTTAAGTAACCTCGTCGTTAATTGTTTTGGTTTAAAAATCTGAATACCGTTGGCCCGATTTTGTTCATATTTTGTACACATATACCCTATGGGGGTAGAAGTTCTGCTCGAAAGCCGATTTTCAAAATGGCCGCTCATTTAAAAATGGTGGCCATTTTAGTGCCGATTTTACAGTAATTTAGGTGCAATATGTAAAACTGTAATAGCAATATGTTTTAAATGTAAAAATTATATAGGACATTGATAAAGCTAGAAATAGAGTTATTCAAGAAGCACATGGCAGCCATCTTGAAAAATGGCGGCCTTTACTCGTTATTTTACGATTTTTGCTGTAACTCAAAAAGTAGTGGAGCGATTTTGTTCATATTTGGTTTGTGAATACTATAACCATGGCACACTGTCTAATGACACTTTTGGTAGAAGGCGGCCATTTTGAAAAATGGCCACCATTTTAACGTATTTTACTATAACTCGAAAAGTAGTGGAGTGATTTTGTTCATATTTGGTATGTGAATGACATAAGCATGGTACACTGTCCAATGACACTTTTGGTAGAAGGCAGCCATTTTGAAAAATTTCAACCAATTTAAAGTATTTTACTATAACTCGAAAAGTAGTGGAGCGATTTTGTTCATATTTGGTATGTGAATACTATAAAGAAAAAGCATATTACTTCTTCTGATGACAACTTGGCTAGTGAGCAACCATTTTGAAAATGGTGGCCTTTCTTATGTGTCTTTTATGATATTTGATATATTTCGTTTGTTAAAATGCCAGCCATTTCTGTTCGATGGGATTCGCTACGCTTTGGCATTGCCTTTGTTCTGGTTTTTAAAGTATTCAGTTTTCAAATGATGTGCATACAATTGCTTTTAAAGGTATTCAGCTTTCAAGATGTTCAGTTGTGATATATTCAACTTTCAATGTCTTCTGTTCGAAAAGGTATTAAACTAAATTAAAGTTCAGCTTTCAAACTGTTCATTTTTTTAACTGTTTAGTTTTCGAGGTACATATTTATTCAGCTTCAGCTTTCAAGATTTTTTAGTTTTTAAGGTGTTCATCTTTTAAGATGTTCATCCAACTTTGAAGAAGTTCATTGTTCATGGTGTTCAGCTTTGAAAGTATTTGCTTTTGAATGTGTTCAGCTCTATTTACCTATCATCTGGTATTTTTATTTATTTTATTTTTTTATTTAAAATTCTTGAAACTTTCAAGATGTTCAGTTTTTCGTTTTATTCAGTTATTAGGTGAAAATTTTGTTATGTAGTATTCAGTTTTCGAGACATCAATCTTCTAAAGCTTTCTAGCTGACAAGAAACCTCTTATTATATAACATTTTTAGCCATAATTTTTCATTTGTGACAATAATTAATTGTAAGTCACGGCCCTTAGGCTTATAGGAAATATTGTATTAAAAGGTTAACTACTTTGTTCCTGAATTTAATCTTCCTGTTTTACGTTAAAGGCAGAATCATATCTATAGTATATTTGTAGAAAAATGAATGCATTATTGTAAAAAAAATCTTTAGTTTTCCTCAAATAAAGTCTACTGAAATGGGAATTTTTTGAAAATAGACTTGACAAGGAATGAAATGAGCCTAAAAAATCGAAAATTGAAACAGTTTTTGTCTGACAACTACTTGCCAGCTTGATACTACCTTTAATGTTGTTTGATCATTTTTCCAAATTTGTAATTCCCAGTTTGATTACCATAGTATCAACTCTGGTTAATCAGGGAAGGAAGGAAAAGAGTAATTCCAATCTTTGATACTTCCCTTAGTGCAACAACAAACTCGCCTTGAAAAGTTCAATGATTATTATACTTGTACTGATAGTGGTGTCCAGGATCTGGCCTTAAAGTAAGATGTCCTTTAATTCATTCAATGCTGCCATTTCTGTGAGGCAGTAGAGTCTTGGTGGTGGTCAGCTATATCCTTTTATTCAGGTTGACCAGTTGGGATTAGGTAGGGGAGTTTGAGATAAGACATAAGGTACAAGATCCCCCAAACATGGCACCTTTAACCGACCCAAAACAGGGTAGGGGAGTTTGATATAAGACATATTGGTACAAGATCCCCCAAACGTGGCACCTTTAACCGACCCAAAACAGGGTAGGGGAGTTTGAGATAAGACATAAGGTTCAAGATCCCCCAAACGTGGCACCTTTAACCGACCCAAAACAGGGTAGGGGAGTTTGATATAAGACATATTGGTACAAGATCCCCCAAACGTGGCACCTTTAACCGACCCAAAACAGGGTAGGGGAGTTTGAGATAAGACATAAGGTTCAAGATCCCCCAAACGTGGCACCTTAAACCGACCCAAAACAGGGTAGGGGAGTTTGAGATAAGACATAAGGTTCAAGATCCCCCAAACGTGGCACCTTTAACCGACCCAAAACAGGGTAGGGGAGTTTGAGATAAGACATAAGGTACAAGATCCCCCAAACGTGGCACCTTTAACCGACCCAAAACAGGGTAGGGGAGTTTGAGATAAGACATAAGGTTCAAGATCCCCCAAACGTGGCACCTTTAACCGACCCAAAACACAGTACAAGGTAGATAGAATTCTGAATTTAATGAAAGATTACAAAATTAAGAAATTACTTAAATAATAATGCATGCCCTCATTATTGTCTTTATGGTAAAGGATTTTCACTGTTGTGCACTACATCATGTACTGGGTACTAGTATTGCTAGACACTCTGGCATTGGTTGACATTAAAAGCCATGATGGCACCATAAATTAGTCAGAAGTATTGTTTTTGGCATTGATGATGTATACTTTGCTGGAGGAAGCACTTGGTTTCATCATACTGGAGAAAGATGTTGTGTTCCAGAGTTCAGAAATGTGCAATATGTATACAATATTTTACAATTATTGTGTAGAGCAAACCACTCTCCTTGCTGGGTTCAAAACGACCTAAAAATTGCCTTTTATGTTTTACATTTTAATGTTGTATCTAGAAAGATTTAAAAATTGAGAATTGGTGAAAAAGTGAAAAGCTTACAAATCTGAAAAACCTGCATTCTCTCCCGAAGTTCTTTTCTTTGTGTGGGTGCAACTTTCTGACCAAAATTGTTCAAAGATTTTTCAAGATTTTTCATCAATCTCAAGAGGATACAGTGCTTACTTGACACAGTGATGGTGAAATCCCTAAAAATACTGATTAGCTCATCTATCTATTATGCAGTCAAATTATAGGAAATATTTGGTTGCAGCTTACTTCCTATATCCATGGAAAATACTTGTTTGTAACATATTACATATATTTTACTATATCCTACCAGGGTTTAGGTATGTAACAATTGTAACATGTAATATAAAGTGTATCTAGGGAGATACAAATATTCCTATTGGGATAAACACTGTATCCAAAACCTCCTAGTATATGACCCTTATCACCCCGTAGCCAGGGGTTCACATTTGACAACTTTGGGCCAGAATGGTGAAAACTGCTTAATTTTGAAAGAAACTTTGGCCAGGGGCAATAACCCCCTGAATCCTCCCCTGGATATGGCCTGCATATGTATCCCTTTGGCAAACAGTCATAACCATATCAAAATTCCATGCAAGTCACTGACATGTGAAATATATTACTGTTTTTAGTATTATAAGGTATCACACAGTCTTTTGTTATGTCTTGTCTCTGATCCTGATTGATATAACTGCAAGGTAATCATTATGTCACCATCTGAAGTGGTGACATATTGTTATTGTGGTGACATTTTGTTATTGTGGTGACGTATTGTTATTGTGGTGACATATTGTGATTGTCACCAACTTTTTGGTGTTCATTGGTCGGCATTTAGCAGTCGGTGTCATTAACAAATTGCAAAGTTGTGACATTTCGGAATAACCTGAAAGAATGAATGCATTTTTGCATTTCCACATAATGTAATACTGGGTCTCATGCCTTGCAGAGCAGTGACACGTTTCCCTGCTTGTCCTTTTAAGCGACCATCTTTCCACTTCAGTCAAGGTATCAGTCTGACATTGAATGAAAAAGGCAGAGAAACCTTGTTCATCATCAGGTATAACAACAAATCATGATTGCCCTTAGACTGTCAACTATGAAGAAATATATCTTGTAACCTATACCAGTATACACATATTAACTGTACTGGTATATCAGTATTTTACATGTGCAGCTATTTTATACCATGTTAAATTGTGCTAAATATTTTATCATTGATTCTTCTAATTATATAATGGGGGGGGGGGGGCATATACAATTATTATTCCTGAATGACCTGGGTTGCTCCATCTATGAATCTACTAATCATAAGACTAGCCACATAACATAACCCTCTTATTACAAAGATGATTTTACAGTTTTGATGCAGATAAGGTCTCAATATTCTCAAATGTAACTGTAAAAGGCTAATGTCCTACTAATAATAAATGTTTTTTATCAGGCAACATGATAATGATACTAGCAACAAAGCAAGCAACAACATGGTAATGCCTGTAAGATCAAATGTAACATGGCCTTTTATTTGAGTTTGAATCTTATATGAATGTCAACTTATGAGGTGTTTTTAATTGATACATGCAATACCATGGTCGTTTTAAAAATAAAACCAGTGATATCCCCATGTCACTTTTACCGGGGGCTCCCCCTACTTGAAACCAAAGGCCCCCCAGTTGGCACCCAGTTGGAATCTGCACTTTAACTTCTGATTTGAAAAATGAGTGAAGTAAGCACCTACATTGAGATATTGTGAGCGTAGCGAGTGCTGATATTTTCAGACTTGAAATTTTGCACCCAGTTGAAAATTTTTTTTGGGGAGAACACTGAAAACCATGAGAAAGAGGAAGAAATGAGCTTTAAAATGCTTTTTATTTGAAGCTTCTTGCTCAATTTTGAAGGAAGTTGCTTCAATTTTTGTAAAATTAAAAATAAATCTTATTTTTTGGCTTGTTTATGCCACAATCACACCTCCCCCCCTCCCCCTGACTGAAAGCCAAAAAGAGATCATAGTTGCCGGCCGCACCCCCCCCCCTGACTGAAAGCTGGCTACGCCCCTGAGTACTGTATATACAATTATTAGATGAACTTTGGTAGCATCTTGATTCACAGGGTTTCAGTTGCTCTAACTCAAAGTCTTTCGAGAAGGGTTGGAAGCTCCATCATCAGTGGATGAAAATTTTACTGTTAAACTATGTTAAACTTCTAGTTTTGATGATATTGCCTGCATATTTTTTTGTTATTATTTCTTACACTATGAAATGTGACATTTTATCAACAAAATGTTTTAATAATTATACAGTATTGAATTTATTAAACAAAGCATGTGCAAATCTGACATGATGCCAGGTCGTAGAAGTCTTGAGTTGTCTTATCAATAGCCATATCATAATATATGTCAATCCTCTTTATGTTTAACTTTACCCGTGTCAATGAATCCAAAGTTCTTGTATGCCTATTATGTTGTTGTGTTGGTATCATTATCATGTTGTTTGATAAAAAACATTTATTAATACAGTGAAACCTGTAAAGTGGAACATTTCAAGAAGAAGCGGAACATATATGTTAGTAGAACACTTTTTAGAGTCCCAATACCAACTGACTTATGTTATAAATGAACCTATATTAGTAGAACACCACTTAAGTGAAACACTTTTAGAGGTACCAAAGGAGTTCCACTTACACAGCTTTTACAGTAGTAGCATTTTGAATCAGATTTATACCACTTGGGGTGTCTTTATAAATCATTATTTTATGTTATTTAGACAAATTTATAAAGTGTGAAACATATTAATCTCAGGTCTCTCTAAGAGAGAGGGCTTTAGAAGTTTGATCCTGTGAATTTTTGCTAGTGTGGCAAAATACAAGACTCTAGAAATGAAACGAAGGCAGATCCTCAAAATGAGGCTCAAGTCTGTGTATGTGCAGAAAAGTCTTGTTTTGGAGTCCAAATATTAAAAAAATGTAGTATAGAAAACATTCACACTTTCATATGAGATTATAATGACCCTTCATCAGTGCAACCCAGCTTTCCGATTAGTTAATAGCCGAAGTGGAATTTATTTATCATATATTTTAGCCACTTCCTGCCAGATATCACTGTCTCTTGTACAACATTTATTCATTCAAGTTGTGTTTGTTAGATGTTGGAAAATAGATAAGAAAATACAAATTTTATGATATATAATAGAATATTAATATTTCAAAAAATATTAGGAATTTACCTACATTGACCTTGTAAAAGTGAGCGATTAGTATTTAACATAGAAAATATATGGAATCTTTGCAATGCATTATTTTGTGAAACTAAAGCATAGTCAAAGTTTACTTTTACCAAGGACTGATGTAAGACACATTGCTGGGGTTATCAATTGTTTATCAACTTTTACTTGGAAACTCCAAATTATTTTGAATGATGGGGTTCTTATTTCATCTTATTCCATGATTTGTAAATAATTGTTTTCGAAAATAGATTTTACATCTTTTTTATTCACATTTTATCCATTGTGAGTGTGCCATACAACTAGGATAACGTATAAGTGTCATTCTCGCTCATTATGAATCTCATATAGGTGTCACTCTCGCTTATTGTGAATCTCAAAAAGGCGTCACTCTCGCTCATTGTGAATCTCATAAAGGTGTTACTTGCTCATTGTGAATCTCATATAGGTGTCACTCTTGCTTATTGTGAATCTCATATAGGTGTCACACTCACTCATTGTAAATCTCCAAAAGGTGTCACTGACTTTCTCATGGTGAATCTCATATAGGTGTTACTTGCTCATTGTGAATCTCATATAGGTGTCACACGCGCTCATTATGAATCTCATATAGGTGTCACTCTTGCTTATTGTGAATCTCATATAGGTGTTACTTGCTCATTGTGAATCTCATATAGGTGTCACTCTTGCTCATTGTGAATCTCATATAGGTGTCACTCTCACTCATTGTGAATCTCATATAGGTGTCACTCTTGCTCATTGTGAATCTCATATAGGTGTCACTCTTGCTTATTGTGAATCTCATATAGGTGGTACTTGCTCATTGTGAATCTCATATAGGTGTCACTCTTGCTCATTGTGAATCTCATATAGGTGTCACTCTTGCTCATTGTCAATCTCATATAGGTGTCACTCTCACTCATTGTGAATCTCATATAGGTGTCACTCTTGCTTATTGTGAATCTCACATAGGTGTTACTTGCTCATTGTGAATCTCATATAGGTGTCACTCTTGCTCATTGTGAATCTCATATAGGTGTCACTCTTGCTCATTGTGAATCTCAAAAAGGTGTCAACTTGAATTGATTTTTAAAAGTATAGCTGTATGAGGTGAGGCCTGAAGATCAGAGACTAGGGTTTAAGGGTTATTTGTAAAGTAAAAAAGATGAATAGATTAGTGTGACTACCTCGGCGAAAATAGAAAAGTAGGTGGATTCTTGGAATGGTCTTAGATTAGACAATGTACACAGGTTAGACCCAGAGCCATCTTTTGCCAATTGGGTTCAGTTCTTAAAAAATTCCAAGGAGGGGGCTCAAATTGGTGAAAAATGCATGGTTTTGAAATAATTTTTGAACCCCTGGCCTAGAAGTCATACCTTTGGGGATGGATTTGGCTTATTTTATTCATTTTGTGTGCATGTTTACACTATTGCCTGATGTGTATTTACAGATTGATTTGATGGGTCAGTCAGTATTTGAGTATTCGCATCCATGTGACCACGAAGAGATTCAAGAAGTACTTTCTGGGACACACCACGCAGATGATGAAGTGGAGCGCAACTTCTTCATGCGCCTCAAATGTACACTGACCCCAAAAGGACGAAATGTAAATCTGAAATCTGCAACATATAAGGTAAGGTCTGAATTAGTTTTATTTGGAGTAAACATGATATCGACATATAGTACAGACGTTCAAACCTTACATTTTAAAATGAACTTTCGTAATTGCCACATTGTGTTCTGAAATTGGCTTCTGACATTGCAGTCTGAAATTCTCTCACTTTTTTATAGATATATTTATAATAATCTTGTTTATTTTATTATAGATATATTTATAATAATCTTGTTTATTTTAAGAATTCATTTATTAATACTATAAAATAATGAGACGTTTCAAATTTTGAGATTATTCTCAACATTCAATCTGATTCTGTTCATTTTGTACCAGGCCTTAACCATATGTCCAGTGTACAATTTTGTATATCAATTTATGATGGATGATCCATATATGTCCATTTTTATTATTTTGGGAAGGGGGATTCTGCAGGGGGATCATTTGGGGAAGGGGGATTGTGCAGGGGGATCATTTGGGGAAGGGGGATTGTGCAGGGGGATCATTTGGAGAAGGGGGATTGTGCAGGGGGATCATTTGGGGAAGGGGGATTGTGCAGGGGGATCAATCTGAATGTAATTTATTATCTTTTAAGACATGTGCCTGAAAAATTCCAAACTTCAACTCTCTCTATATGGAATAATTATGGTTGCAATATTTACCATCGGGAAAGTGTCAGTCAATTGTAACATGTTGCACCAAATATTTATCAGTTTATTAACCTCTCATCCAGCTTATCCAAAATATATGCCTAGATTTTAGCCTCCAGGTTATGAAGACTTAGTTAGACTTACTGTTTTAACTAGTAAACAAGACTGTTCAAACAATCGGCATACCAAAAAATAAATTAGCGTTGATATTCTTTTCATAAATATCTCTTTTTCAATTATAAATGTCCCGTTCAAATAATCTAAATACCATTTAATAAACAAGTATTTATATTCCCTTTGCAAATATTTTTTTATTAGAATTGTCCTTTTCAGATACCAGTAGAAAATATTATTTTTACCCCATCGAGGCAATTCTATTATTAAGTTCAACAATAGTTCAACAAATTCGAAATTATTATGAACAAAATTTTTTTTTATTAAATACAATATTGGTTATTTGACACTGTTTATTCATATGCCATACTGTTAGCAACATCTTTTATAACTATTTGATTTATTAAGTGGCAGAAAAAGTGGTAACGACTCGACCCGGACTCTGCTCTTAAGTCATGTTGATCTCTTACAATAGGGCCGTACAATTGTAAATATGTTCTGGGGCATGAAGACCCTGTTACAGCTGATATTAAAACAAAACTTGTTAAAAGTAGTATTAACTTAAAGCAAATAGTATATCCTGTTTTTATCGTACCTAAAAAAAGTACGATATTATCATTAATGTGGATATAATTCCTCATCTTAACCTTAGATCCTCTTAATCTTTATATACTTTCTAGTATAGCAGCCTTAGTACTTAGATTCTAGTTAATAGAAATATTGCATTTTTATATTTCAAAAAAGAAATAAATCGAAATTTCCCAGGTTGATATATAGTCTATAATCTTTAGAGTATGCCAAAAGAGATCAAATGAAACAATAAAACTAAACTGCCAAACATTTACATACCAACAGATCTGTTTTACCTAGCAAAATTAACATTCAATAGTCTCTTACCAAATCTCTACCCCCCCCTCCCAAATATCTAATACCCAAGCTTTTGTAGGAGAGAGAATGTTGAGGGGTACACTCAATGCAAGGCTTCAGTTCAATGTTCGTTTAAAGAAAATATCAGCCCATATGCAAACATAATGCTCAGTATAGAGTGTGGCAAAACATATGACGCAAGGCCATAATTAGATTTAATGATCTATTTGAAATTTAAAGATCTAATAGCAAAGGTTTTGCAAAAATACATCAATGCAGTGTAAAACAAATGTATGTATAATGAAGAAATAAATATTTAATGAAAAAAATAGATATGTGTTTGTAATATTGGTATTAACTTAAGATTAAAAAGTGTCACTATCTCTTTCATTTTTCAACAAATATAGGCTCACGTGACATATGACGCGGGGCAGTCAATTTTGATCTATCGTAGACCATATCAGTATCAAACTGCCGATATTTCAACCTCGTCTTGCGAGGCCATTTTTATTTGAAACATCTTGAATTTGGTGTCAAAATAAAGCTGGTCACGCCCACTTTCAGAGTTATCAATGAATCATTTACTACGACTACTATATTCATTTAGGAGGCGTGTAAAGTTAACCAATCAGAAAGACAATTGCTCCATATATGACAGTTCATTAACATATTCAGTGTTTACTATTGTTTTTCGCGTCATGACAACACGAGTAGTAACCAATCAAAATGCCGTATTTTATCACGTGAGTTCAGAGTGACATGCACGACATGTAAGTTTAGTCTGAGCTGATCGCGATGTTGAACAATTTCTTCTCGGAATTTGTCCAGAGAAATCAGCGATTCTAAATTAAGGTAGGATCTCCCATTTCTTCCTGTACAAGTTTTAACTTATCTCTATCGAATCCTAAAGTTTTGGATGAAGATATGAAGCATACGTTTAAAAACGAAGCGATTAATTTGACGATCTGATTTTGCAATTTGCAATGGCCAATTTACTGCAAGTCTGCGTGTATTTGACAAGAGATAGCGCCAAGTCTTGTATCCGAATGCTTGTTAAGCCACTCAAAAACAAGATCCATATTTTTTTAAATTTGATAACTTTGCAGAGAGCCCGTTTTCATAACCTGTTTTCCGCGTCTAAATTCAAACTGAGTAGGATTATAGGATCGCTGGGATTCTCAGTCAATGGCAACGGGTCTTCATTCCAGAACGCACATTTTTTTAGTTGATTCTCCGTCATAGTACTTGTCTAAAGTCCATATCTCCTCTTTTACTGGCATACTTGGACATATTTCCCCTCCTTAAATTGTCCTCCTTAAATAACACCCTCTCGCCGATTTATATATAGCAATTTCCCAGAACCCGGGAGTCAGAATCGCTGATGTTTGCCATATTGAACATGTTGAAATATGTACTGTAATATCTGTAATACTTACCCTGCGTGCAGAGTCTAGTTAAACTACACTCTGCCTAGTAGAGACCATATTACAGTTAAGTAGCCCCGCCCCCAGGACGGGTACCGGTGACAGTTTGGGTTGTAAATCACTTCTGACCTACGTGCTGACCTTTCTTCCACCAATCAGCGAGCTTGAAGAAACATACGCCAAATGCGTTCTAATTAAATATGCGTATGTCATTGGTCAATTCCGGGCTCAACGATGACGTCAGAAGGAATGCCCATATATAGAACGTCGGTCAAATTTGGCCGACGAACACTGATTGGCGCGGTGAGTTCACAGGTTTATTTTAGTTTGAAAGAGTGAAGACGAAGCTCTCTTTTAAGAAGTGAAGTCAAACGAATGCAAAGGGTAGTAATACTAGGCATTGCCTGCTACGCGTAAGGGTCACGTGACTAGCGCGATACAGGAAAAATGGGGAATTTCGAAACAACAATTTTTGGGCACTTTTATTGCAAATTTCAGGTATTTATAAGTGTTTGTGGTATAAAATATAATCCACAGACATAAATGAACATCCAAACTACATATTTTATTACGTTTTGGAGCCTTTTTTGCTTTTAAAATGACATCTTTAAAATGAGTCAACAAAAACATGATATTAAACTTGGTGTTATTTCACCTTCTTTGAATATAACATGCTTTGCACAGTTGTGCCTCCTGAGATCAAGAACTCATTTCACTTATGATGCGCACCTGGGATCATATTGCCGGATAATCCCAATTTAAGGCAATTCTTTGGGATGTGTTAAAATCATGCTAGCAATTGAAACATATGGCTGGATTGAAGTAGCATGCCAAGTAGGAAGGAAGATGTTCCTGATAACCGGTTATTTGCCAGAATTGAATTGATGGTTATTTTCTTTGAATAAAATTGATGACACATTTTTCATTATCAAAATAAGGGGATCAATTTGCCATCATCTTGGTGTTATCCTGTCTTTAGAGGACTCATTGTATTTAACCATTTTTAAAAGTGCTTCATCTGCACCCTTTGAATAAGAAATCGTCATTTGATCTAGCTTTACCCATTCAGGATATGTCAAACGAAATCCAGTTACCCAATCAAAATTGCAGTCAGAATTTTATGACTTCATAAGTAGCTGCCATTTATTTCACATTCAAACTCCCATAATATGCCATAACATTGACTATGTTGTCATCAAGATTTAGTATTAGCATCATATCTGTCATCCTCCAAACACAGGCCTCCAGAACTTATACCTCGTTCTTCCAGAAGAAGGAAGGACATTGTGGATGATGTCTGAGCCCTGCATTCGGAGGATGCATATCTGTATATTTATTTGTCCCAATCAGAGCATGGTAATTCATACTACAAGCATTTGGATATGATATGGATCTTGAGGTTATTGTTACCCATGATTTGTCTCCGCTCTCATTTATCCCATGAAACATTCAAATACAATAGTATTGCTTAAGTTTTTCAACATTGGCGACAAGATACAAAACATGACAACATGGAGATAACAAACATACAATAGATAAGTACATACTAGTACATGTAATATAAATGGTGGTAAACCCATGATCCCTGGAAAACAAACATCATTTCACTTGCAATCAAATAATAAAGTCATGATGGCTCGATAAATTATTAACAGTGTTTACTTGATACAAGAAGATCATATTTTTTTTTTATTGTAAGACAAAGTATTAAATTAGTACACTCAAGGCCAGTCATTTGTCATTGAACCCATAGTATGTATCATGTTTAAAATATCTCTCTTCTTGTACCATTTCACTTTATTTCTCTTGACAATGTTTAAAATATCTCTCTTCTTGTACCATTTCACTTTATTTCTCAGCTTTTTTTGCATTTATACAGACAATAAAATGTTTGAAATATCACAAGTTTTTGCATAATTTCTTCAATTTTATTCTTCCGAATTTAGTGTTATAATTACTGCACATGAGTACAGGGTGTTTTTACATCCAGAGGAGCAACTTGTACTAATAGTGTACTTAACCAGCCAAAGATGTTAATTAATTAAGACGATAAATGTCTAGATCACACTACCTTTGGAGGAAGAACTTTTTCAAATATATCTACATTTTTGCTCATAATCGCATCATTGCTAGACTGTTTCAACAATTACCAAATATTTATTCTAAATAATCTTGAGAATTTAAAAATTCACTTTAAAGATTTTGGTGTAAAGTGACTATTTTATCATCACGAATCATTAGAAAATATTTGATTACAAAAAGATAATAATTTCTAACTTTGGCTACTATCTTAGGATATGACTCCAATATAGTAAAATCAGTTTAAAAAGGTTCAATCTGCATTTTTCTAAAACATGTTCTCAAATCAGGCCCGTAGCCAGGGGGGGGGGGGGGGGGGGGGTTCGAGGGGAAAGTCCCAACTTAACATGGAAATGACACATCAGCAAATCTTGGAAACTTAGGTTGCAAATTATCAAATATCGTTATTTATTCCATTGAAAATATCAGTAAATTTATTAATCTTTTGAGGGGTTTAGGTATTGAACTAATGACAATTAGCCTTGTACCTTTATGGAACACATGTATGGGTTAACACAATAGACTAAAATACATATCCGGCTACAGGTATAAATAAAATACCTTTGAACTTGTTTATTACACTTTCTTTACAGACACTTAAGCAAATAGTACTCCATATTATTAGATAATTACTTACTATGTTTTTGTCTGCTTTGTAGTTAAAAGCTAATAAATAGATAACTTTGAAGCACCTTTTAAAGGACATACTTGCATATTTCAAATGAGCACTTTTCAGAGAAGTGCCTTTTATACTTCTAGAGTATACTACTGCAGAAGCACCAAATTGCATTTTTATAATGTCACCACCACCACCACAAGTGGTGACATATTGTTAAAGTCTCAAACATTATTGCAGCCAGTGGTTTGTGTTTGTTTTTTGGTGGTGGACATCTGTAACAAATGGCAGGGGGTAATATTTTGCATGTGAAAGCCCTATGAGCATCAAACAAAAACACTTTTTGAGAAGAATCTTTCTACAACTTCATTTCACATATGGCGAAAACTCCAGCGATTTCTAAAGCTCTGCTGAACAAATGCATAAAAAGCTGTTTACAGAACATTAAAATATCACTTTGACCTCGTATAGTCTGTAAATCAGCTGATAGATTGAGAACCTATTACACAGACTTAATGCTGGCACCTAAGGACAACATTTCTTGAGCACCTTAACATTTTCAACAAATATTTCTAAACTACATTTTCACTACCATTCAAATGAGTGAAGAAAGTATTTTTTTGATGGCACATTTCTGAAGCACTTTTTCATAGTTCATGAAAAACGTTTTCATAAATTATATTAAGAAATCTGCTGACAGTTCAAGATATCTGTTGCACAGCTGTATAACAAGTTGTTTACGGAACAATGAAATATCACTTTGGCCTTGAACCTGCCGATTATTGTATCGATCAAGAGTCGATGTATATTCTGGTGATAATAACACGATTTAATGATAGAGTACTTATATAATAGTCCAGCCAACACTCACAATAACATTATGAATGATTCACGAGAAAAACAAAAATCAAAACGTGACTCGGCAGGTTGGAGTTATTACACTATTTGATACTTGGGGAAGGGCATTTGGGGTTAATCCTACAGTGGCAAATGGAGTTAATAGCTTCCCTGTAAACAATTTGATTAGCATAGGAAATGAATTTGATAAACTGTTACTGTTTTAGGTGCTGTTTTTCAGTTTGTTTTTTATCTGTAGAATACCATTTTTCCCAGTCTATTTATCTTATATATTTATTGCAGTATTCTCAACCATCCGTGCAACATCATCCTCCTAAGCAGGTATCCAGAATCCGTACCTCCTTCTTCCCCCTGCTATAACCAATTTGGAAGCACCCGATTAAACTGAATCACGTGATCTAATTATGCGCAATGACTTATACATGATTTCTGTTGCAGTGTTGCGACAGCCAATCAGATTGCGAGTTCTTAATCTGGGAAATGCTAACTGCTTATCGCAGGGGGTAAAAAGAAAGAATATATTCTGGATTTTGAAGCCCTGTGATGGGAGGATGGTGCAACATGCGAAAGCATTATTACGTCAAAAAACAACAAATATAATATCATTTATGACCTTTTTAGCTCATGTGATAAGGGTATCTCAAGCACCTATTGAATTGCGATCTTGTCTCTCCATCTGTCAACAATTTTTGGACAAATGATAACTGGCTGTCGCTTTTGTCTGAATGAATGCTCATTACATATCCATTCTTTGGCAATTGACAAAATATTGCCATTAATGTTTTTTCAACTTTATTCATTTTTGTAAAACTTTGTTAAATTATTATTTGTGTACAATTTGTGAACAAATAGAATAATGGCGGATCCACCAAATTGTTAAAGTCCGCCAAATTAAGTAGCCATCAAAACAGCAAATCCGCCAAAATAAGTAGCGCCCTATGTCCCAACTCTTAAGTTTGCTTCATTTGGAGAAATCATTTTTTGCCTAACTTATTGACAAATAGCATGCTTCAATGAATGGAAAACTTACATACAAAACCTTAAATTTTATACTTTCATTTTATTCTATATTTCCAGGTGTTAAAATGTTCAGGTCGCATAATAACTACAGAGGTAGAGGGAGCCAATAGTGAATCTTCAACGGTACGGAGCCTCGTTCTGACTTGCGAGCCTATCCCTCATCCTGCCAACATAGAAATGCCGCTGGACACACAAACGTTCCTCAGTCGGCACAGCATGGACATGAAATACACATATTGTGATGAGAGGTGGGTGCCTTTAAGATTATATATTAAAAACACATCCCTTTAATAATGTGATGGCACAGAGTGTGAATAGTGAATCATTATTATGTCACCACCAAAAGTGGTGACATATTGTTATGGTCTCCGTTTTTTTATGTCACCACCAAAAGTGGTGACATATTGTTATGGTCTCCGTTTTTTTTCGACGGCGTCCGGCGGTTGGTGGTTGGTGGTTGGCGTCCGGCGGTTGGCGTCTGTAACAATTTCTTACAACTTCCTATAACTTAACAAATACTGTTTAGACTGACTTCAATTTTTTTCTAAATCATCTACATGTTCTCAGAAGTTCAAATCTGACTTTAGATTTGACATTTGACCTTCAATGACCTTCTCAAGGTCAAAAAGGTCTTTTTTCAACTTGCTTCACATTGACTAAATTTTTTTTCAAAATCATCTACATGTTCTCAGAAATTCAAATCTGACTGTAGATTTGACATTTGACCTTCAAATCTGACTTTAGATTTGACATTTGACCTTCAATGACCTTCTCAAGGTCAAAAAAGGTAAAAAAGGTCTGTTTTCAACTTGCTTCGAATTGACTAAATTTTTTTTTCAAAATCATCTACGTGTTCTCAGAAATTCAAATCTGACTTAAGATTTGACATTTGACCTTCAATGACCTTGTCAAGGTCAAAAAAGGTCAAAAAGGTCTGTTTTCAACTTGCTTCAAATTGACTAAAAAAAAAATTTTCAAAATCATCTATGTGTTCTCAGAAATTCAAATCTGACTTTAGATTTGACTTAAGATTTAACATTTGACCTTCAATGACCTTCTCAAAGTCAAAAAAGGTCAAAAAGGTCTTTTTTCAACTTGCTTCAATTTGACTAAATTTTTTTTTCAAAATCATCTACATGTTCTCAGAAATTCAAATTTGACTTTAGATTTGACATTTGACCTTCAGTGACCTTCTCAAGGTCAAAAAAGGTCAAAAAGGTCTGTTTTCAACTTGCTTCAAATTGACTAAATTTTTTTTTCAAAATCATCTACGTGTTCTCAGAAATTCAAATCTGACTTAAGATTTGACATTTGACCTTCAATGACCTTCTCAAGGTCAAAAAAGGTCAAAAAGGTCTGTTTTCAACTTGCTTCAAATTGACTAAAAAAAATTTTCAAAATCATCTAAATCTGACTTTAGATTTGACTTAAGATTTGACATTTGACCTTCAATGACCTTCTCAAAGTCAAAAAAGGTCAAAACGGTCTTTTTTCAACTTGCTTCAAATTGACTAAATTTTTTTTTCAAAATCATCTACATGTTCTCAGAAATTCAAATCTGACTTTAGATTTGACATTTGACCTTCAATGACCTTCTCAATGTCAAAAAAGGTCAAAAAGGTATTTTTTCATCTTGCTTCAAATTTACTAAATTTTTTTTCAAAATCATCTTCATGTTCTCAGAAATTCAAATATGACTTTAGATTTGACATTTGACCTTCAATGACCTTCTCAAGGTCAAAAAAGGTCAAAAAGGTCTTTTTTCAACTTGCTTCAAATTGACTAATTTTTTTTTTCAAAATCATCAACATGTTCTCAGAAATTCAAATCTGACTTTAGATTTGACATTTGACCTTTAATGACCTTCTCAAGGTCAAAAAAGGTCAAAAAGGTCTGTTTTCAACTTGCTTCAAATTGACTAAAAAAAATTTCAAAATCATCTATGTGTTCTCAGAAATTCAAATCTGACTTTAGATTTGACTTAAGATTTGACATTTGACCTTCAATGACCTTCTCAAAGTCAAAAAAGGTCATAAAGGTCTTTTTTAAACTTGCTTCAAATTGACTAAATTTTTTTTTCAAAATCATCTACATGTTCTCAGAAATTCAAATCTGACTTTAGATTTGACATTTGACCTTCAATGACCTTCTCAATGTCAAAAAAGGTCAAAAGGGTATTTTTTCATCTTGCTTCAAATTGACTAAATTTTTTTTCAAAATCATCTACATGTTCTCAGAAATTCAAATATGACTTTAGATTTGACTTTAGATTTGACATTTGACCTTCAATGACCTTCTCAAGGTCTAAAAAGGTCAAAAAGGTCTTTTTTCAACTTGCTTCAAATTGACTAATTTTTTTTTCAAAATCATCTACATGTTCTCAGAAATTCAAATCTGACTTTAGATTTGACATTTGACCTTTAATGACCTTCTCAAGGTCAAAAAAGGTCAAAAAGGTCTGTTTTCAACTTGCTTCAAATTGACCAAATTTTTTTTTCAAAATTATCTACATCTTTTCAGAAGTTCAAATTTGACTTTACAAGTTCTCAGAAATTCAAATCTGACTTAATATTGTGAGCAACTAGGTGGTGACATTTTGTCATGTTAATGCCTTGTTAAAAGTTGTAATACAATACAGTTTTCCAATCAACTTTGTCGTGCTGTAACAGGAAATAATTTGCTCTCTGGTTATCACTCTTGGAAATTATACATGTTTGTGATATTAGCTAATGTTTTCTAATTCTTCCATGGCATGTTTAAGACACTAAACAGTTCAGAATATGCTCTTGCATAAAGTCAACTGTAATGTTTTAAATAGAAATTATACTGCAAAGTAGATTGCTTCACCACCTAACATGCTGAATGGATATGAAGTCTAATTTTTGAACAAAAATTAAGATGGGCCATCTTGGGGTACTGTATATCTATGTCAATAATCTGCAACAAAAAGCCTTGTAGAAACAATTCTGAAAATTAGGAATGTAAAGGGGACAGACTGTTTTGTTATCAAGGACATAAGATGGATAGGAAAAATTAAACAACATTTTTAAATATTTTTGCATGTGTCTGTGTTAACAACCATGAGTAGTAATTATCCCTGAACCCGTAGAATCATTTTGCACTCAAAACCCCATGAACGCATAGATCACGAGGGTAAGTATGGATACAGTAAATTATTGCTATTTTTCCCGATTCATTCTAATTTTAAAGAAGCAAATGATTGCATTTGAGTCATCACTATAAACTAAAATTACAGGTGTCTCTTTCTTGTCTTGTATAGTGACTAATATCTTTGAGAAATGCACCGTTCTATTAGTGCTCAATCATTTGCATTTAGCAGTATATTAGCCTAAAAGCCAACCATAATTTGATAGGTGATGTTCCTTGAGTTGAATATAGAAGTATATTAGTGTAGATATTAACATGGCAATAATGAGTTCTAGTAATGCAAGTTCATCAAGGGACAAGGTTAATGGAATGATATATCCCATATCTACTGAGGTTCTAGGTGCATAACTTGTGAGAATAGTACAATAACGTCATTTCAAAGGGCAATATAATGAATATATATTTCACTATATTGCCCGCAGAAATGACGTTATTAGTATTATTACAACCGTTAACGACCAGGACTGAAACAGCAAGAAAATCTTACGCACTGAACGATATCTAATTTCCCGGGGAAAATTGTCGGTCGTTAAATGCATTCTCGACCGGTCGTTAATGCATTTTTGACCACCACTATGACGGCACATATTGCTCAGGTCGATATAGTAAAATGAATGCCTTCTAAACTAGCACTAAAACCCCTAGAACTGGCCCGGTAAGGTGGTAATAATATATCATGTATCTAGTTAGTGGGATGGATATTTGATTTTTTCTATCTATCTCACTATCTCTGAGGTCTGGGACATGCAGCTGACAATCATGTTCTGCTTTAAAAAATTTAAAAATGGATTGTTTTATATTATAATATATAGTATATTTATATACCATAATACTTGAAAACGTTCATAAAAATTAGTGAAAAAAAACATATCTAATGTTTTCAGATTGATATTAAAAAATAATTTTTGTGATACCCTGTATCCAAAACCTCAGAGTACAGAGGGGTACATAAGAGTACTTTAAGACCCCACAAATGTGATTAATATTGCATTTGATAATGAGTGAAAATGTCATATGTTTTTGTTGTTGTTAATGTACATGTATATCAATCATTGAAAGGACAATATATTTTGAAAACAATTTATGAAATGTTCAATTATTGGAGGAGTGGGTGAAATTTGAAATGTAATTATTAATCACATGTATGGTTAGGTACAACAATGAAATATTGCTACCCCACACAGCAGTTAAATGATCAATTTGTCTCCTCTATGTGCATCTGTTTGTCTGACTGCCATCAACAGTTGCACATTTGGGCACCTCTGTTTGTTTGATTCTTGTTACAGTTATGCATTATTTAAGATCAATATCAGCATGTGGATATTTTCAACAAGCTCAAACTTCCCACTGCCAGTTTTGTTACAGTCTTGCGTCAATCCTTTGTGACCCCCTCCCCTGTATATCTCACCTCTTCTACAAGACTAAGGGAAGTAGAGAAGGCCCCGGAGTCTTGGCGCAAGACTTGTTTTATTCTTGTTCATTTTAAATGAGTGCTTGTTCTCATTGTAGGATCCACAGGAAATATTATTATCCTTTCGAATACTTACCAAAGCGTTAGATAAATCAGAATGGCTTGTTCTTATTGATTTGTTAACAAGGAGAAGTAGATTAGGGAGGAGGAAGGGTCCAGGGTCTCAATATAAGACTTGTTTTATTTCTGAAAATTTTAAGTTTCTGCTTGTTGTTATTTCTTGATCTGGCAGAGAAATTCCTGTATACTTCACTGTACATACCAGTGATATCTAGAAGTGTTGTTTTAAAACCTGGCAAAAATTCAAAATTCTTGTTATATTTTCTCAGGATCCTTGTTACTACTTATTGATGTCATAAATATGTTGTAAAGTTCATCATGCCCAGTGAACAACACTGAGCAGATAAGAAAATATACTGGCATTTGCACTTTGCATTTTAATTTTGCAATTTCTCAAACATATAATAGGGATTTCATTAGAATTTTACACAGGCAAGAGAGATGAAAACAGCATTAAAAATAATGGAATTTATGATTTTGACTTGAAAACAGTTGCAAAATACCTCAAAACAACAGGAGATTTTTGTAAAAAACTGAAAAAATGATTCCTGCTGCTTTTGAAATCCCTGAAATGAAACAACCTTACCTAACCACATCACCCAAATATTCTAACTATTAAAATGTGAACTTGACGAAAAAATTTCCTAGAAATTTTAATATATTGATCATCACTAGATAAAGATCAAGATAAAAAAGAACTGTTCAGTTAAACCTGTCTTAATGAACACCTCTTTCTAGTGAACACCTGTGTCTAGTAAACACCTTTGTCTAGTGAACACCGCTTTTAAGCACATACTCCACTGACTTCAGTATAAAATTGTCTCTCTGTAGTGAACACCTGCCTACAGTGAACACATTTTGTGGCTCCATAAGTGTTCACTGTATACAGGTTTTACATGTCTAATGCCAAGCAAGCTAACTCCATAAAATCTCGAACATAATAAAATTTTATTTTCCACGCTCTAATTTTCATGGATCAAATACTTTATCATGTGAACAGATATACAATATATATAAAATAGAGATAATATCAATTAAGATTTCTGAAGCAACAATTTTTCATTCATGGGAGTTTTAATCGAGTGCAAAAAGTGAAACGTGTGGTCACAAAAAGTGTTGTTAATAATCTTGGTTTATTCATTTAATATAACTTTTGAGGCATTATAGAACTCAATGATCATAATTATTGTTGTGGTTTAAACACTGTTCTAGCATTTATTTTATTGACTAATAATCAGAATAGACTAGAACTAGGAATTCAGCATCTCAAAATCGTCCACCATACAAGTCTTACAGGTAATTGAGCTTCAAACTTGATTAGCAAATACGTGTTATTTCTGGTTAAGATCATTATTAGATCTACAAATAATGTAGAATGAATGGTAAGGCATCGCTTAAGTCTTGCAACATTACAATAAATTAGATTAGGAGAATAGTTTATTTGTTCAGGGTTAGATTTCACTAAATGAAAAAACACATCAGATATTCACAAAATCTATCCAAAATTCTGGTTTTTGTCTCAGGAAATTGTAATTAAGTCCAGTGAAGTACCTAATTTATACTATAATAACATGTTTTCCCTGGGAAATAAATATTCAAAAATTCCCATATCAGAACTGTATCAGCCAAAATCCTGTATCAGATCTGTATTAGAACTAATCTCGTGATTCCTCTAGATTTTTACATTTTTCATTCTGTTTTAAAACTTGTTTATAAATATGTTATGTCATAAATCAAATTATTATATCATTGCTAGAAATTGTGTGATTTGATTGGTCGAGTCAGTACCATGTGATCAAAAATACCATAACGTATTTCACAGCTCCCTCAATTTTAGGATAATAAAAGACGTATTGCCCGGCGTATTGCCCGCCCGGGAATTCTGACAACTACACTGGACGAAAATAAAGTGTACCATTCAATGATACTTGTACGTAATTATGTTCACTTATGGATTAATGATATATTAATTGATTAAAATAAATGATCATAGGGAATGTCTAGCAATGATATAATAAAACAAATATTTCATTCTATGTTCGGGCAATACCTGTTGCACTTTCAATGATTTTTGCATCATGTATTTCCCTCGCCCTACGGGCTGCGGGCAATACATACCGCAAAAATCATTGAAAGATGAACAGGTATTGCCCTCCATAGAATGAAATATTTGCTTATTGTATGATTTTATGTTACCACCGGAAAATATCATATTAACACTTGGGCTGTTGCCCTTGGTCAATATGGTATTTTCTTTGGCCAACATCATATTTTTCCTCAGAAAAAATTCATATTGGGACCATTCCTCCCATTAAATAACCTCCATTTATTTTCCATTTCTGTGAATAATAAAGCTTTTATATATCCAATGCCACCTTTGAGATGCAAAGGAGTTTAAGTTGTATTTATCGTTATTTATTGTGCTCCATTGGAAGAAAAAAGTATGTACAGTGAAACATGTAAAGTAGAACACCTCTATAAGTAAAACACCTCTCTTAGTGGAACACTTTTCACAGTCCAAAGACCAACTGGCTTAATGTTAAATGAACCTCTGTAAGTAGAACACCTCCCAAGTGGAAAACAATCTAGAGGTACAAAAGGTGTTCTACTTAGACAGGCTTCCTGTACCTCTGTAAGTAGAACACCTCCCAAGTGGAAAACAATCTAGAAGTACCAAAAGTGTTCTACTTAGACAGGCTTCCTGTACCTCTGTAAGTAGAACACCTCCCAAGTGGAAAACAATCTAGAAGTACCAAAAGTGTTCTACTTAGACAGGCTTCCTGTACCTCTGTAAGTAGAACACCTCCCAAGTGGAAAACAATCTAGAAGTACCAAAAGTGTTCTACTTAGACAGGCTTCCTGTACCTCTGTAAGTAGAACACCTCCCAAGTGGAAAACAATCTAGAAGTACCAAAAGTGTTCTACTTAGACAGGCTTCCTGTACCTCTGTAAGTAGAACACCTCCCAAGTGGAAAACAATCTAGAGGTACCAAAGGTGTTCTACTTAGACAGGCGTTCCTGTAGTTCTATTTACACTTAGACTATCCAGGCCTTGCTGACATCACGAGCAATGAGCTCATGTTAGAAGCTGGGCCTTGATAGATATGATAAAATTGAAATATAAAAATGAATTAAATGTCAGAGGTAACTTGCTCGCGATATACGGGGCCTGGATAGTTACCATGTATTTAGGCACTTTCTTAAGGAACACACTAGATGTGGTAATATTGTTGTTGCATCATATGGTTTCAGCAACAACAAAAAGTTGTACTGTACTTGCACTCTTATATTTATCATGAGATGTTCCTATATACTAACCATGACATACAATATATATTAGGTTAATATTGTCAGCATAACCTACCTACGCATATATCACAAGCATGATAGCTACAGCTCCATTTCAAATTAACTACAGTTAAAAGAGTGTGGTGTGCCTACAATAACATATTAATATAGAATTTATGGAGTCGAGAATAAATAGAGATTATCTGCTAGGAGGGATTGAATATGGGTTTTATTCTGAGGGACAGAACAATATTTCTGGAGGCCCTCCTGGTAACAACCACCTTTTAATGTATTAAATCAGTAACAAAGAGACTAGCTTTGTTTCAAATCAGTTATACGTATATAGGTATATGCTCCATTAATGGCAGTAAAATACATTATTTAAGCAAGTGAAACAAACCCTCTTTTTGTAATTGTAATTATTGTTTAGCAAACTGATTCAGTGTGTTTGTAATCTGCATGTATTTAATGTCAATTTTATCACTATTTTAATAACTTGATATGAAGTATGTTTTTTCCCCTTTACTCATAGGAGTACTTGATGTTCATTAATAGTGAAATATAACCTTGAACAGAGCTATGAGAATTGATATCTTAAGGCAGTTATATGCTGGTAAAAGATGGCTTCATGTTATAGCATAGGGGCAATGACTGATGAGTGTTCAGCTTTAGACTGTAAAAGATGGCTTCATGTTATAGCATAGGGGCAATAGATCATTTTTTATCAAAATGCTAGGTGTACCATTTATCTGTTCATCCAGATGCAAGAGCAGACCAGTGCCAAGATCTGATCAGGTTTTGGGCACTTTGGGTAAATTACTAATTGTTGGCCATTTTGGATGTAAAAAAAGTGTGATACTTATCTCTATGTGTCTTGTGGTGACATATTATTATTGTCTCCAACTTTTTTTCTGGATGTTGTTCAGTGGTTGGTGTTTGGTTGTTGGTGTTTTGGCAGTCGGAAGTGACATTTGCATGTTAATGCCCTGTTCACAGTTGTTTGAATGTGAATGTATTTTAACGATTTGTCCATACAATTGTTTGAATGTGAATGTATTTTAACAATTTGCCCATACAGTTGTTTGTATGTGTTTCAGGGTTGAGGAACTGTTGGGTTACGAAGAGGCTGACCTATTAGGCAAATCAGTATACAGCTACCACCATGCCTCCGATCACAGTGATCTCGTCAAGTCATTCAAGAACTGTAAGTTACTTATCCCTCTTGTTGTATGTAACATAGTACAGTAAAACCTGTCTTAGTGAACACCTTTCTCTATTGAACACCTACCTACAGTGAACACTTTTTGTGTATCCATGGATGTTCAATATATGAGGGTTTTACTGTGTTGTGCCAGTGTAAGATAATGGGCCCAATATTTAATGATACTATCAGCCTCATTAAGTTTATTTTATGATTTGCGCATTTAGAAAGTGCAGTATTGATAATAACCAAATAAAGATACATATTTGTTAAATGAAATGATATACTGTTATAAGTACATCATATCCGTGTAATATTATTCAAGTGTTGTTTAGTATGGACATTTATGAAAATAGAACTACAGTTAAACATACGCTTATAGAATAGAGGTTTTGTATTTTAGTGATACATTTCAAAAAAAATCTGCAAGGGTCATACCTACAATCAAACCCATCCCTTGCAGCACACTTTTTATTGTATTTCAGCACACTTTTTATTGTATTTCAGCATACTTTTTATTGTATTTTGATGTTACCACCAATTTTTATAGTTTCCAAATTTTTGATGACGATGGCAGTGGTGTTCAGCAGTTGGTGTCTGCATCTGTAACAAATGGCAGGTTGTGACATTTTGACTGTTAATGCCTTGTCTATAATATGTTTTATTTTCCTTTAGTGTTCTCCAAAGGCCAGACAATGACAGGAAGGTACAGATTTCTGGCAAAAGATGGCGGCTATGCTTGGGTGATAACACAAGGAACAGTCATCCAAAATAACAGGTCCCCAAAGCCGCAATGTGTTGTTTGCGTTAACTATGTCATAAGGTAAGATAAGTTTGATGATTTTAGGAAATGGCCACCAATCCTACTCTCATCCGGGATCACAAACAGACATAAATATATATTTTGATTTATTGTGTCATATTATCTTTATCTAACCTCTCAATTGCTTATACATGTATTACTCATCAGCAATACTGTCACACTGGCTAAAGGCAATGCAATCAAACAAAATGTTGCAAAATAAACTGAAATTCATAGTAAAAGAGTTTTTTAAATATGACTTCAGACACATGATTAATTCATTAACATGAAATGTTGAAATTTAGAGTAAAAGGCTTTTATGTATGACTTCAAATGCATGCATAAATTCTATAACACCAAAATCCCATCCAGCAAATGAGACATTAATGTAAAACCAGTCAGAATAATATTCTCTCTTTGAATTAAGAAAGCAAGAATGATGATCCCGATTTTAAGTTCCATATTTGAAATTTTATTTAAATATTCATATGTGGTGTTTTTGTTTTGTTTTTTCAGCTTTTTATAGCCCATTTATTTCATTTACATTATACACAATATACATAATATTATATTAAAGTAGAAAAACCCGTGCCGGAAAAAAAGAAAATAATATGTGGTCACGTGGTGTTGATGATCAAACTAAAACCTTTTAACATTTAACTAACTTACTTTAACTAAAACCAATATGATCAAGTTCTGATTTGGTTGGGTCTATTCAGTGTGAAAATGTGCACTAGTGAACCCCAAACCCAAGCCCAAAGTACAGAAATATGAATCCAGGTGATAAAAATCTCATGGATAAACACTAACTATTTTTTATCAATTCAAAGTTCATATTTTGATACCTAATATAAGTTTATAGACTTGTTATGCGATAGCTTTTTCAATATTCACTGGGGGGCTAGTATCTAGATGTGATAAATGCAAGTTAATTGTTATTTGAAGCAGTGGTTGAAATGGTATGAATTATCATTTTGGTAAATAAATCCTTCTTAAGTTACCATCCCTTTTGAATGCCATAGTTAATAACTGTGTAGTTTTGAACAAAGATTCAAGTTATAAGACTTGAGGTATAATTTATTTTATGTATTGACTACAGTTGACTAAAAGTTAAAATGAGGTTTTAAAGCAAGCACAAATGAAAAAAAACATCATAAATATAGTACCAAACACTCACTTATTTTAAAAAGAAATAAGGATATAGTTCCTCTAAAAGTTCAGAAAATACTCGAGAAGTTCACAATGACATAACAACATCTTGAACGGTTGATATGTATTGACAAATCTAGAAAGTTGTTAAGCAGTCTCTTAATGAACCCCTAGAATCAATTGATATTAAATGATTCATTTTCTCTGATCATGTTTTAATTCTTGCTAGAATCTGATTGAAGTATCTTATTTTCTAGTATTTCTGTATGTACATTGTACACAAGAACAGTTGGACTTCTTCAGACATTTTAAGCCCTTTCACTCATCTACTTCAGATATGTGTTCAGAACAAGACTCAGCATTTTTTCTTTGAAGTTTCAGCCTTGATACTGCATTAAGTGGACCTTTAGATCATTTGTTATTAAAAAGATAGATGAAGTCTGGGACCTAAATGGATTGCAGAGCATTCGATTGCTCAAAGCTCAGTTTAGATACTTGTAGCACAGCAAAGTTACTTGTATAGCACACTTTGGTTACTTGTAGCATGTCCGGTTACTTGTAGCACAGCAAGGTTACTTGTATAACACACTTTGGTTACTTGTAACACAGTCTAGTAACTTGTGGCACAGTGTAGTTACCTTTAAGCACAATCTAGATACTTGTATCACAGTCTAGTTGCCTCTAGACCATAAAAACAGATAAAGCATCAACTCAGGGCAGTAGAAACAGAGGGACAAGTCACAGAAACCTATGTTCTCCATTGATGATAAATACAAACATGAGTAGTTTTTTTCTAAGGAGGAAAAGTTTGGTGACTACAGTAGTTTCCAGACATCAAAACAAGTTCCTTCTATCTAATAACAGTTCTCTCGCTTGATGTCAAAAACCTATTTGCTGAACTCGTATCATGTTTTCGATATTCCAAAAATTGATTTCCATTTAAAAGTAACCTGCAATCGGAACCGAGCTCATTACTCTAATTGAATAACTTTAGTTGCGTCAATATTACAGCACATGTCGATGATGGTCGCTGATAGGTCACGCTGACTTTTGTTGGATCATTGAGCCCACAAAATTATATTGAAATGTCAGTGATGTAGGGGGTTACAGAAAGGGCACAGTACCAGATAACCCACCAGCGCTAATCCTTAATGCAAAAAATATTGAAAGATGTTTGTCAGCTGTTTATTAAATTCCAAACCTCAAGTGGCTTTTAACCACTGAATGGTAGTTTGAATGGATGGATATTGTAGACTTTATTTATCTATTTCTATAAGTTGTTTACTGTCTTAATGTACTGTTGATGAAGTTGGCATAATCTATAACTGCTATTCTTATTTGTTTCAATCATGAAATTAATTATTAATCATTGCAAAACTTGGCTTAGCTTTAATATAACAAAAGTGGAAATAGTGCAGTGATGGATGCTTTTAAAGGTGTAATGTTTCTTTTATGTTTCTCTTTTGTATCAGAAATAATAGAGAAAGACTTGTTATTGAATTGTTGTTCAAATAATTTTTCCTATTATGTGTCATTGACATGTATTGTTTCTTCAATCCATTGGTATGTCTTTTCCAAACAACTAACAAAATAAACAATCAAGCAAGGGAGCAAACAAACAACTTCAGATAAGGGAAGCTTCCTGGGGGTGCTTTTGTTGACACACATTTATATGCAAACATAAGAACAACTGACATGCGTTTCTAACATGAAAACAAGAACCAGACATTTTTGCAAATAATGTGACTGTAACCTTTTGTTCATTTGTTATCTGGTTAACGTGACATTATTTGGAACACAGAGGTCAAATATGTAATTAGATGAATAGTTTTTAAGTCCCAAATGACAAAATAACACCCAATTATTTCTGAATTATATATTGAGTCTAAATGAGAAAATGTTCATTATACCCCTGATCTTATTGCATTTCTGCGAAAAGATATAGGATTTTGTTTGGTTAATAGATTCTACAATGACATATTGATCGAGTTAAGGTCCTTCACATTGTTTACTACCTTCATGAGCCGCAATAACAGTTCATAAGAAGCCACCTATTTGTAAATGTCACACCTTATATTGAAACTACCATTTAAATGCTCCCTGTTTGATTATTGCTTTGGTCGCTTCAAATGAGTTTTTTATTGAGTTAGCTTCAGAGGTGAAATTATAGGTTTTTTAAGTATTTTAAGGGTCTGGTTTAGGAAGTGTTATCCTTGTGTGTTTTCAAAATCATAGACATGTTCCGAGGGGGTCTCTTTTGTGCAAAACAACTTGGTATCCTGTTGTTATTGAAGAGGAATTAAGCTTTACAGACAATGCAGTCGATTCATTCAAGAAAATTCCATACCAGAGGCTGATTTATGGCATTGTAATATGTTTTGATATATTAGGATATTTTTCTTAAAATTTATTTTGACATGGAATGTTTTTGAATTAATATTGATTATAACTAAAGTGATGAATATTCATGATATTCCATGATAAGATTAGAAAATGTAAATTAGAATACCATTTTTCTACAGTTGATACTTTAAAACATAACATTTTATGGTGTCAAACAAAAGATATTGTTTATAATTTTCAATTGCTTGAAAAAGATTTATAGAATAAAACGAAATGTTGCAAAACTAAATCATTTTGTCACTAAATATAAACGGTTAAAAACATTAAACTTAAAAGGATAAGACTATTTGTGATATACCGCATACCGAATCTGTTTCTTTTCTTGCAAGCTGGATAGTTTACATTGATGTTATTTTCCCAAAAAATAGCCACCTGTTCGAAATTAAATACAACATGTACTTCCTTATTGTGGCACTGTGTTACATCATTAGGTACTCTCTGATCCAATAAGAAACATGCCTGAAAATTAGACTGGCGAAGTCAAGGGCCACTTTGATAGATAGATCACCATCAGCGATCTTCGGTAAATTATTTCATAGAATTCAGGATGAGGATGTGAGTGCATTAGCGAGTTAGAGAAGGCTTCATTGGTTGTTGACGTCAGGAACATACTAGAGTACTGCGATAAATCAATGAATCTGATTAATATGTCAAAGACGTCCAAGTTGTGTTTCATCTCATTCTATTCGGGAAAAACATGCCTGAAGTGTTTTCTTACATTTCTATTATGTAACGAGAACTTCATGTCTTTACCATTCATTTCATTTTCTGTATTAAGCCACGGTTTTGAAAACAAGAGGATTGGTATCTTATGACATCCACTTCATTTTCCAGTATATTATTTTAAGTATAGTATGCCTGATTGTTATGTGGGCTGAGCTGTCTCTGTAATTTGATTGAGATTAACCGGGAGAGGAAATCAATTACAGATTACTGAAATCACAGACTTGGAAGTCCATGCTGAAATGCATGTTTTATCAACTTGAAATAGAATAAAAGTATGAAAAATATCAAAACATTCGGTTTTACCGTTTTCAGAGTTTTACTGTCAACAGTTGTGGAGAAACAAAGTTGGTTTCCTTTGGGGAGGGGGTAAATTATGATTTCATAAGAGATTTTTTCGATTCAAGTGAAAGGCAAATCAACATTTTTAAATTTTATTTTCTGAAGGGAAGGAGTTTTAAAAGCCATAAAAGGCATGGGGGTCTATAAATAAACATTTATATTTATAACTGATGTTTTAGGGAGATAAGGGCAGCGTATCAGGGGGAGATAAGTCAAGGCCTTCACTCAGAGGTGAAGATATGCACCCAACTTCTCTTCCTGGTTTTGAAAGGATTGGTTTTACTCAACATCTTCAAGGCTACATAATAGACATCCCCACACACAAAACAAAATAAACATCTATTTTTGCCCATTATAAGAATACCACCAAGGCAGTTCTATTATTGGCATGAAGTTGACAATAATTATTGAATTAAATGTTATTCACCATGATCATATATTTTTCAATAACTATTTGAACATTCATCATTTTTGAGGAGACTTAAAGGGACAAAGTGCTGAAATGAAGTCTCACTTTTGATCTTCATAGTGTTTCCAAAGGATAAATAAGTACCTGATCTTTCATTTGACACCAAAAATAGCTCAAACAAACCACATCAGACTTGACACTAGATCATGAAAAAATATTTTTGATCTATCAATTTATATGTGTCAAGTTTTTAGCAATGCCATAGAAAGATGGCATTGTTGTTTGCATTGATTATCCATTCATTTTTGATAGGATTTTCAAGCATACGCCATCTTTTAATCCAAGAGTTATTTAAAACATACATTTTGTGAAAAGTGGTAATTCACTTTTTTCAATCTCTGAACTTCAAATGCCGTTTTCTATGCGAATAATTTTTTTTTCACTTCAGTATTATCCCAAATTAAAGTTTTTATCATATTTGATTGACTGTGTGAGTGACATGTCTCAAATAATATTTTGTCCTTTTTCCTTCAAAAATAGGCGCATTGCCTGTTTAACTTGGAAATACATCTAGTAATTTCAACCTCTATATTTTTAAACAATATTATGATAATAATGGTAATAATACCACTATACATTTTGTGATTTGAATCACATGTACAGTGTACAAATAAATTTCATCAAGAATTTTTGAAAAAGATTTCCAGAATTTATCATTGTGTTAAGACACCAGGTAAAGATAACTCATGGAGGCTCTTGATTAACGTTATTTTTGATTTGAAAACTTGATAAATCATTTCATAAGCCTTAGTTTCAAAGCCACCACCTGCACTATCTGCCACAGGTGAATTTTATCACAGAAAGAATCCTAAAATAAAGCTAGAAAAACAACTATGCGGATCTATTTACTCCAGGTGAACACAATCATTATGTACCCCAAACTTATATAACATCTGAAAAATCCCGGAAAGCAGTATCCAATTCCAATTTTTGAAAGCAGCTTTGTATGCAGGTGTTATAGCTACATGGATTATGTAGCAACCTAGATTTTGACACATTTAATTTGATTCGAAAGTTAATTAAAACATATTACCATTAATGTAACTCAACTGTCTTATTTCTTGTCATTCCAGTGGGGTAGAGGAAAATGGAGCCATATTCTCCCAATGTCAGAAGCGAGAGAAGGTCAAGGTCACTAGAAAACTACCAGCGCTGCCACCTAGAATGCATCTCCAAGCAGAGATGGAGACTGTCCTTGGCAGCAGTGATCCAGAGTACTTGGATCGCCTTGCACCTGCTGCAGGAGGAGTGTGCGTACCCCTGGGATTCCCTGGAGCAGGTATTATTATAAAGGAAATTGTTTGGAATTCCAAAAATGTACTTGGTCAAATGTTGTTCAAAATTTGTTTACCGTACAGTTTTGCACTGTCATAGTTCATACTTATTAATTCTGCTCTCAAAACCTGAATCTGCCAAAAATAATATTTGAATATAATCAACATTGAATGTGACATTCTTCCTGCTTAAGATTTGATCTCAGGACATCCTGTTCCGTAACTTCTCAATCAGTCATGTGCAAGAGTTGAACCACTATATTAGTATGACCCTCTTGTTTTAGGTGTGAACTTGTATGATGACATCTTGTTCCCAAGCCTACAAGATCACTCTTACGAAAAGCCCTTGAATGTAAAAGTTGAACCCACACAGAAGCCCCAAGATGCTGATTATCGCTTCCCAACAGCGATAAGTAGCCCTAGCGAGACCAACCAATCATCTTTGAGTTCTCCACAGGTATGTCTCATACTTATTTATATTCATGACTTCCTGAAAAAACTGTATGCGCCTGTAAAAAAGCTTTAATTCGGGCAAGCTTGAGTTCATTGCTACAATAACTATTTTACAAATTTATTAAATCATCATATTGCATTTATAATTATTTCATTTTTTCAATCATTACATCATATTGCATTAATAAATAGTTCATAATTTTTTCAATCATAATTCAAAATCTACTGATCTTTAAGGCTTGGTTGGTTGTGGGTTTGCATGTTTAGGTTTTTCCTATTTTAGACAAGTCTAAGCTTGTATTTGCAAATACAACTAACGCCCGTCGGCTTCCGGATTAACCTACTATTTTATGGGTAACTCATTTGAATATGAGTAGTACCTGCCACAATGCCATTAATTTCTAAATGAGTCATAAAATAGTAGGTTAATCTGGTAGCCGACAGGCATTATTTGCATTCGCGAATACAAGGTAAATCTTGCCACATACATTGCACTGTTTTCTTACTTTTCCTCCCAAAAACAATATACCAACACTTTAAAAAAAGTGTGGCAAGTCTAGACAAGTCTTGAGTCGGGCCCATTAGTTATGTATTTTGCAAATCATGCATGCCATTTATTCAGCATACAATATGTTGCAATTTGCTTTAGCTATTCTTTGACTCACATTGAATGATTTGTTTTCTCATCACTGTTTACTTTTTTTCATTGGACACATTTTAAAAGTTCTGTTTTCGTTAGAGTTTGTTGAGTTCTTTTGCATTTTATTCTCTGATTAGATTGTTTATTTTTTTTTATGTTTTAATTATCCATTTATTCCATCAATGAGTCCTGCATCTTTTTAGATAAACCACTTTCCTGACCTTGGGCTTCAGTTCTCAATAGATGGCAGTAAATTCAGTGGAGTAAAGAGACAACCAAGCTGCCATCTATATGAGTCCTCCTGCCTATTAAATTCTGCAGCAAGCTTCAGAGAATGTGGATGTATGCCCCGCTATGAACATGCTGCAATCTGTTTAAAATGTCAAAGTTGTCTTTTTTAATTGGTAAATACATTGGAAAATAGAAGGAATGGGGAGGAAAAGTTACCGTCATGAAATCAATACTAAATTGTGTAGCAGTCCTCTAAATCGGGCAGTACACAATACATGTAGTATTTTTTCAAAAAAGGGTATAGAACATGTATGACAACATGACAATTTAAGCGAGAACATTTTAGCTTTCTGCTTTATATGTTGGCAATTAAGCTGAGCTAGCCGTGCAATTTATTTTCTAGGATCCCTGGGAAGACACTTTCTTTGGTGATGTTGTACCAATCATCGACAGTCTGAACAATGGAAGGAGTCACTTGGAACCAATCATTCCACTTGAAGTAATATATGCAACTAAATTGAACCTTTAAATGAGTGGAGAGCATCTTGTTCATTTTATGAGCCTTTAATTTATAATAGACCAAATTTGACATGACTTTATAAACAGAAATATCTCTAGCTATAGAAAAATAGCGTCTTACTGTTTGTCAATGTGTCAGCTTATTTGGTCAATATACATCTTTTGAGAATATGACTATGACTGTCCACTTATTTAGTTGATTCTAATTTGTTGCATATATAACCAGCATACAGCAGATGATACTGCATCAACATGAATTTTTTGTTCATTTTTGATTGTTACATAAAAAGATCAAATGTATTAAAGCATATGTATTAGATTATCTGGAGTAGTCTTGATGTTCCATACAAACAAGATAATTACAACATTATAGATTGATGTACAGATGATGTGCTCCTACATACTTAATATTTTTCTGACCTAAGAGTCACCCCATATTTGAATTCTTGTGATATATGAGTCACCCAATGTATATTTCTGATCAATGAGTCACCCCATGTTACTATACTGATTGATGAGTTGCCCCATGCCAGATTTCTGACAGACATTCTGAATTGTCTAGGTGATGAGTCTGTCAAACTCCCCCCAGTGCAGCCCAGGAAGTGACAGCTACATTGAGATTGATATGTTGGAGAGATTGAATGCCATGGAGGCCCGCTTCAAGCCTGGAATCATGCCTGATAAAACACAAGACTCCATGGAGGTAATACCCTTTGGCTAGAGATTCACTTCATTTTCAGTCTCAAAATTTGATAACAGCCCAAATCTTATCAGAATATCTAATCAGAAAATAATGACACTGCATTTTTGACGGTAAGAACATAACATTCATTGCACATTCAAATGTTAATAAAAGGCCACGAGAGAGATATTTAAGATGATAAAGATCTTACTGGCATCAAAATGGTAATAATCAGAGTCAGGTGGTGGGGGTAAATCAGGTATGAAGGCTCATCATCTCATCTAGAAAGCCCATGTATCATGTGTAACTTTGGTTTCATATCCCTTTATCAGTGATATACATGTACATCAATTCTTACAAATTAATGGATGTATGGACAATGCTCCAGAATTCATTCATGCAAATAATAGTAGCTGTGAGATACAATTTACATGTACTGTAATACATCAACTACATAATGGATGTATGGACAATGCTATAGAATTTATTCATACAAAGATCAAGAACATACCATTCTAATATATAGATAGTGGCTGCAAGACATAGTTTACTGTAATACATCAATTCCTACTTAATGGATGTATGGACATTGCTCCAGAAATCATTCATGCCAACTTAATCTAACATATCTACAAAGTGGCTGCAAGACAAGATGTACTGTAATCTTCAGGACAATGTTATGCAGAATATTGAGCCAGAGATTTCACACGAATCAGATTCCAAGATTATAATTATGCGCATATTTATGAAAGGTCATTGTTTTGCAGGATGTTGAACTGGAGATGAGGTCTCCATATATCCCTATGTCTGGGGAAGATACCCCATTCTCAAGGGAGTCTGCCTTCCATCCAGTCTTCAACAGAGACACTGGGGATGTATCTATCTCTGTCCCGTAAGTTAATCTTAAAGGAATATTCCTTGCCAAACCATCTCTCTCCTCATATGGTAGCTATAACCATATATATGCTTGCCATGTTTAGCAAAACACGCAAAAATGTTTTGATATGGTCAAATTTGATCACTTAGAAATGTGATGCTCAATTCCAGTAAGCTGCCATCTTTTTAAATTTCACACAGGAAGTGATGTCATCGACTCTCAACTTTGCATATAGCATTAGGTGAGGAGCTATTAAGAATTACAAAACCAGCTAAATATTATTTTTCAACTTTGTATCTTATTTAATCCTTCTGAAAATCTCTTCTTTTATTCTAAGTTGACAAGCCCTGAAAATATTTTTGCACAGAAAGTAATGATCACTTGTCTAGAAGTGATTTTGTGCTACTTTCCTATACTGTTATGGGCAAGGTTATAGAAGTTGAGAGTTGATGACATCACTTCCTGCAAGAAATCTTAAAAGATGGCAGCTCACTGGAAATAAGCACTAGATTTTTAAATGATCAATATTGACCATATTAAAATATTTTCCCATGTTTTGCTAAATATGGAAACTATATATATGATCATAGCTACCATATCAAGAGAGAAAGGGTCTGGCAAGGAATATTCCTTTAAAACATTTCAATCACAGTTATAAGGTTTTTTGTACAATCATATATATTCTCATAAAAAGAAACAAAAACACAACTGCAAAAGTGGTCAGTTATTTTACAAGTTTTTTTTAAAATATATTACTAAGACTATTGAAGGTGGAAAAGTGAAAACTTATTTGCCCACTAGCAAGGTCTAAGTTAGACAGACTCATGTTAACACCCTTTAACTGAATGTAACTGAATGAACCTGAGGTACTGTACTATTTATCCAAAGTAAATGTTCAAGAAATGTTAAATTTCAGAATTCTTGGCCGTACAGAGTCGGTGTTCTCTCCTTTACCACCAGACCCGGAAACAACGTCAAAGTCACGCTCGTTCCTGACGAATATGCGACGACTTCAGAACAAACGAATGGCTTCTGAAATGTTGCCCAATAGGAAAGAACTGATCCCTAAGACACCATTATCGACTAATCAACTGGAGACGGGGCCTCCTACTAAAAAACCCAGATGGCATACACCAGCTCAGAAGGAACAGTCAAGTGAGTATAAAATTGCATACATTTTTTACTGTACAGATGTGAGTGGGCTATGACCCTCCAGAGGGAGTATTTGTCCTCTTTATTATTGGTTTCTATGGTAACCTGGTTACAACAACACTCAATCAGGGCAAGGAAAGCTACTTATAAAGGGGATCCGGGAAAATTATCCCTGAAGAACACTAGTCTGTAAACAGAAATTTACAAGGAATTACGAAATGTACTAGGAACAAGCAATGAACAACGAAATGAGAATCTTTACTTTTCAAATTGTTGAGATAGTGGTCTCTTCAGTAGAAGTCCCTTAGCACCCTTCACAATGGACACTTTTCAGATGAATTGATCTAACATTTATTGTCTTAAAATGCTTTATTGTCAGCAGTAGAGTGCATTAAAACATCTTTATGAATCTAGGGAGACCTGATTTGATTTTTGAGCTTTCTCACGATTTACAATATCAGCATTATTGTATTCTTTTTAATTAACAGTGTTCCCTTGAACTAGATAGTTATGATTGACTGAGACCATAAAATACTCATAAAACTCAATGTTTTCATTGCAATGGTAGGACTGTGCAAACAGGATGTTAAACAGTGTGAATATGTTACACTAACCGCATGCACTAATAAAGATTGTTTTTTGTTTATCATATTGATCATTTTTTGATATTTCAATAATATCTGGTTATTGATGAGAAACATAAGGATGTCAGTAATTACTGCATAACTAGGTCTCTCTGACTGATCTGATATTCCCAGAGAATGTCAGATTTGACAATTTTTATGATTATAGTTCTTTACCTAAGAGTTCACAGACTTGTCTGAGAATCATATTGTTGTTATAATGTCACCACCCCAAGTGGTGGCGGTTGGTGTTTGGTTGTTGGTATTTGGTGGTTTGTGTTTAGCATTCGGTATCTGTAACAAATGGCAGGTGGTGACATTGAATATTGCTATAGCCACAGTTTTTTGTGACTGGCATTTGCTATTCAGTATGGTATTTGGTAGTTTGGTGTTGGGTAATTGGCATTCAGAGTTTGATGTTGAGCAATTGGCATTCAGAGTTTGATGTTGAGCAATTGGCATTCAGAGTTTGGTGTTGAGCAATTGGCATTCAGAGTTTGATGTTGAGCAATTGGCATTCAGAGTTTGATATTGAGCACTTGGCATTCAGATTTTGATATTGAGCACTTGGCATTCAGAGTTTGATATTGAGCATTTGGCATTCAGAGTTTGATATTGAGTACTTGGCATTCAGAGTTTGATATTGAGCACTTGGCATTCAGAGTTTAATATTGAGCATTTGGCATTCAGAGTTTGATATTGAGCACTTGGCATTCAGAGTTTGATATTGAGCACTTGGCATTCAGAGTTTGATATTGAGCACTTGGCATTCAGAGGTTGATATTGAGCAATTGGCATTCAGAGTTTGATATTGAGCACTTGGCATTCAGAGTTTGATATTGAGCATTTGGCATTCAAAATTTGATGTTTGGCAATTGACATCTATCACACATTTGCATTGGTAACCATTTGCAGCTGGTGACATTTCGTTTTATTATGTTTCTGCCATAAAACGTTGATTGTATTTTTGCATTTCTATTTAATTCAGGAAATATTTATGATTTCGTACTTGAAAAAAACATCAGCATGTATCATGCTTTTATCTCCTGGGTCATATTAAACTTAACAGTGTAAAATGTTTAAATATATCAAATAAATGGTCTATAAAAACTGTGCTTGTAAAAACATCTTGACATTACATATAACCATCACCTTGGTGTTTTAAATTACGCACTATAATTAAACTTAATTGTGCAGCTTTATACATAGAATAATGGTTATTGTACTATTGTACACTGACAGCAAGTTCAGGAACCTGACTAGGAAGTAGAATTAACAATGTGGTATATGGTGTGATGGCTATCAGAATTAATCTAGTGGCAAAATGTGTCACCACCAGAAATGGTGACACATTTTTATATTAGCACCAGAAGTGGTGACAGATTTTCATAATCTCCAACTTTTTGTGGATGTTTTTTTGGTTGGTGTTTGGCATTCAGCAGTAGGTGTTCGGCTGTCAGTGTTGTAACAAATGGCAGGTTGTGCATATTGGATGTTAATGCCTTGTTCCTAATATTAACACCCTTATTACTTGCTTATCATGCCTTTAACTAAAATCATAGGTTGTTCATTTCGATAAACATTTCCCTGATTTATTTTAAATATTCATTGTTTTTCATCAATATAGTCGCAATCAGAGAATCGTTTCACTAAATTATATTGAAACATGTGCTGATATATTATTTGTAGAAATGGCTAACAGCGTTTTACTGAATCTTCTGACGACTGGGGAGGACATCAACAATGGCTATACCGTGAGCAGAGGACCACACAAGGTAAGCACTTGGGAATTATGGGATCGTTGTTGTATTTTGTTTGCCACCATTATTAATTGTGTTCTACTCTAAAATAAAATATCTTAGATTCAAAGAATCATACTGAAACATTGGGTGGCCATTTGGGATTTTCTGAGGCTTGAATCTGAAACGATACCTATTACTTTGGTTAGAAATGAAAAATGTTGACAAAAATTCAGCATCATTTAGATTTTATTAGTCACGAATCTGAAAAATGATGCAACATTTGCAATCTACTCTAAAGACACTTTAAAATGAGTTTAATTAGAGAGATATGAAAATACATAGCCCCTGGGGGTCTGGCTGAAAAACATGGGAATATGTATAACTACCAAAACAGTTATACTTATTACTTTGGTTGGAATTGAAATTATTTTGCCTACAGTTATTCACCAATATACACTTTCCACACCAAATATGAAAAATGGATAGATGAATGGATGGACAGACGGACGGACTGACTGATTTAATGATATGGATGGAGGGCTTCACTATGTCCCTAAACTTTGTTAGGATAATCAGATAATAAAAATATATGAATAAAAGGATTATAAATAAGAGAATAAAAGGATTATAATTTAGAGAGTAAAAGGATTATGTATAAGCATGGCCCAAATACTCCCCTTTAAGATATTTAGGTTAAACTATCAATTTATTTATTATTTATTCCTCGTTTTCTTATCTTTTCTATATTTCAAGCATGTTGGCTATACTCTTTAGGATAGATATTAATTTTCAGATAATGATCTTCATCACACAAGCGCTTAGTTGTTGTCATATTTTGATTTTCAAAGTCAATTCTTGTCACACGATAGATAGTGTGCAAATTGAGACTTTGAGGCTCACAATGTGAGCCAGTCGCTTGCTTTGTTATTTTTATTTGGCGGTACATTTTCAGAAGCAGATTCTTGGCACAACGGGTCCTACTAGGCCTTCTTCACAGTCTCTGGGCAAACATCTTCAAGGCTTGATGCCTAGTATCACCCGTATGGATGCGGAGGTGGGTCATGCTTCACAATGAGAAATGTATTTTAAAAAGAGTGGAATAGAGTTGAATTAACATGGAATGAAGTGACTACTTAAAGTTTGATATACCAGAATGTTATTATAAATGAGAGAAACCACAAAATATCACATTATATATTGATGATTCAATGACAGTGAACAGTGAAACCTCTAAATTTTCTCCTGAAGATCATTCGATAAAATATCTAAAGTTAACAGTCGACAAAATTATCCAGCTCCTGTATACAGTTATAAATCCAACAAGGGTCATTTAAGAGTATATGTTGTGTCTGTCCATCAATTATTCGAGAAAATCTTCTTTTCAATCCAAAGTAATGGGTATTACTGGAAATTTGGTGGCATATAAGATATAAATCTTATTTATTTAACATTGTTTGACCAGTATTCTTTCATCTTGGTCATGGCTTTGCATGAAAATATGATTCAGAAATGTGTTTTACAGGGTGACCGGAAAAAAGGAGACCATTGAAATAGGCAATATCTCCTAAAATAGACTAGTGACATCAATGAAATTTTGCATACATCAGGACAGTTCTATGGAAATTTGTTCCTGAAAGTGTCAATACAAGCAGTCAACTGGTTCAGGAGCTATGATCATTTACATAACATGCTCCAAATAGGCGCAATTGAGACCAACGCAGAGCTGGATACATTTGGCAAATACCCTTACATATTCCGACCTTGTTATGGCATTACATTTAGCATTTATTGCCACCTTTAGGTCAGCAATTGTCTCAGGATTGTTTTGGTACACATTGTCTTTCAAATTGCCCCACAAAAAGAAATCAGGTGGATTCAAATTTGAGGTGTATGGAGACGAAGCTTATCTGACCTATGGCTTCTGACTCAGTGGTCCCACTCAGTTACAGTATCATCCTAAGGAGGTTTTGGGCAGCCCTTGGTTTTCATATGGGATTTAATTGTGCCATATAGTGGTTTTAGTAACATGGCACTATGCCCAATACCTAAAGTGACTCTTAAGATTTGGTAAATCAGCACTTTGGCAACAGGATGATGAACCACATGTCAGATAACCCTTCATTGCCATTACAGCCTAGACTTGAATCCTGCTGATTTCTTTTTGTATGGATATTTGAAAGACAATCTATACCAAAACAATCCTCAAGACTATTGTTGACCTAAAGAAGGCAATCACTGCTATATGTAATGCCATAATAATGCCATAGAGGGCAGAACATGTAAGGGTAGTTTGCCATATGAATCCAACTCTGCGTTGGTCTCAATTGTGCCTATTTGGAGCATGTTATGTAAATGATCATAGCTCCTGAACCAGTTGAATGCTTGTATTGATACCTTCAGTAACAAATTTCCATATAACTGTTCCAGTGTATGCAAAATTTCATTGATGGCACTTGTCTAGTTTAGGAGAAATTGATTACTTCAATGGTCTCCTTTTTTTCCGGTCACCCTGTATATGTGGATTCCTGAGAAATGCATTGCTTTCCCTTTAATTATTCTTTACTTCTGATTTTTTTGCATTTAATTGTATTTTGGTGAGTTTCTAACAATGGTTCAAATATTTTCCTATTTTCTATACAATGCATAATTTATATGTTGTATTTTTGAATGTTAAAGCTTTTTGCAACCATTCTTTCTCCAGTATGAAATATGAGACCTTTTATGTTACCAAGTCTCAAAGGGCTGATGAGGCTTCTGTATATTGACATTAATGTACATTCTATTTACATTACACATGTATTTATGTTTGAATATGTCTATTTGAGGTTTCTGTATATCATCTGCGTTCTATTTTAAAGCACTTCTACAGTAATCAAACAGACCCCTACCATTATGTCTGTTTTTGTGCATAAATAAATAAAATTTATACTTTTATACTCTCCAGGTTAATGCTCCGTCACATGGCCTACTTCAGGGGAAAGAACTTCTGACAGCACTGGACGGTTCAGCCGCTGAGAAAGAGGGCAGCACCGGACCTCTCCGTACCATCAACATGCGAGATATCTTATCTCGTTGAGAACTACGTCAAGTCAAATGACGCACATGTCTGTTGTATTTTTAGTGACGCATAGCCGTTTATAGACTGTATTAAAATGGTAATTAGAGTACAGATAATTACAAACTGAGTATTATCAGTAATATTTTAGATGTCTTGGTGGTCATGACAAACGAGAGAGGTTTAAGACTAGGCATGAGAGAGTTAAGAAGAGGAATTTAACATCAGAATATAATGAAGTAACATTGACTGCAAACTCTTCATAGTAGGATAATGGAAGAAAACGAAACAGTTCGTAGACTATAAATTAAGGTGGGACATCTTGAGAAGATTTTGTGGAGCTGTTAATTAGCTAATTACCAGATTGTTTATTCCTCCTGACCTACCTTAAGCTTGACAAGCTTGACATTTTAGGCATGATGTAAATAGATATTTATCTACAATAACTGAAATGGCTGAATACTCTGTGCATGTTTAAATGTGTATTGAGTATTTGAGATGTAAAGGGAAACAAAGTGATGTTACAGAATGTGTTAGAGGACAAATGAGAAGTTAGGCGAGCAGTTTTGTTGCAAGCGGTATTGTGGATAGAGAGAAATTGCAAACTATAGTATACAATGCACAGAAAATAATATTCCCAATAGTTTCCGCAATCAATATATGGCTATAAAGAAGAATACAGAACATGTATTGTACATAGACTAACCCTAGTACTGGCCTAGAATTTACAGCTAGATGTGCACATATATATCTCAAAGCAGCTACTGAAAGTAGTGGCAAGAAAATTTGGTTTTCAAATTGCAATAATGTCATCTTCAATGCATTAAATTTATACATTGATACGCACATATATGTACAATTAGTATATCTGTTGAAAAATCTTGGAACATTTGTTAAGTTTTCTTATAAATCTAAAACATTAAATTCTCACAGGAACAATCTTTAATGATTCTCAGCTATCAAAGCCTTTGTTAAATCGCATATATTAGTATAGGTATGTATACTAAACACTGTACATAGTGTGTTCCAGCACAAGATTATTGTATTTTTGGAATAAAGCGGTAAAATGTATAATAATGGGACGCATTTATAATTGGATTGTAGCCCCACTCGGCTGTTACTGAAGTTACTCTTAAAAACAGATTTTGGAGAAAATGTTCTAATTTTCTGACAAATTTGTCATCTTTACAGGATAACAATGGCATTGGCTCTTGCTTGTGTTTGTAGTACAAGAAAATAGCAATGTGTGATAATCAGTTGATTGCACAGACTCAAGATATGGCTCAAGTTAAACTGATGCTCCATACAGATACATATTTCCTTGGATCTGTGTAATAGACTGTGTTATCAAACTGAAGATTAACATAAGTAATAGAGTCAGTGCCCTGAATTAGATTTGGACCCCATTTCGTTAAATATATATATATCCGGGATATACTTGTGTATATATATATATACATATTCATATTGTTTAATGGCCTATAAGATCATACTCAAAATTTGAGCAATATTCCACCAAGCTTGTATAAAACAAATCAGTCCAGTACTCAATGTCAATAATTGGTTCAAAAGTGATATCGAGCACATTGGAAAAGTCACATTGGGACAGATGATACACTGGGTTAATGTTTGTTGCAGTTTCCCAGTTTATCATCAAGTCCAGAATGTGACCTTGCCTTTGGGCTGAGTATCAACTCTTAGCCATTTATAACAGGGTTTCTACAGTCCGGGACAACAGGAATCTACCTCCCTGACCTTGAACAGTTGCACAATGTCAAAGTTACTCCTAAAATTAAAGAAATGGTGGGAGAATTTTGCAATGACAAAAAGTCAATTTTTTGATAAATTTACATTGTCCATTTATTATCTAAATAGTGAATTTTTAAAATTTACCCAAAATATGTATATACAAAAACATTCATATCTTTTTCTCTGGATTCTAAAATATTTGGTTCATTATGGTCAGAAAAAATCATATGGTCCATTAGAGGTCAGGGAATTTCGTTGAAATCTGTAGGAACCCTGATTGTGGGTAGTGGTCTGTTTTAATTACTGTATATAGACTTCTAGGTGGGAGGATCTCCGCTGAATGCACAAATACCCTTAACAAGGGAGGTTTTTAGTATTATATTTTTTTAATAAGAATAAAAGTTGTACTTAATTAAGGAGTACCCAACTGTAAAAGAATCTTGATAGCTAATCAATAGTTAAATTAAATTAATTAATTAAATAAACAGTTAAATTAAATTAAATTAAATTCCTGAAACAATGTATTTTACAGTGTAACTGCATGGCAAAAATTGTGAAAGAATTACGATCAAATTTGTGGAATAATCATGAGAACCAGACCTCTGATAATGAAATAATGCTGGGAATGATTTGAAAATTAGATAAGAGCCTGGTGGCTTTCAATTAAATAGAATTTAAGAAATATATCACTGATGCTGAATCTAAATGCAAATGTATGGTATCAGGATGATTATATAATCCTTTGTTTAAGGGTTTATAAACAAACTCCCCTTTTCAGAGATCAGAGTTGTACCCTGCTGTCATAGTCTAGTACACCCCCCTCTGACTAGGGCAGATCAGTTAAGCATTCAACCAATCAGAGTACACCATAGAGCCATGCTTTGTGTCGCAGGCTCTGATTGGCTTGGCAGGATCAGAGGTGTTCTGAAATGTAAGAGTCTGAGATGAAGTTTACACTCTAGAAAAGGGTATCGGAGTGATGATTGTTCCATTATGACATCATGCATGAAGTTTCCTAACTCACCTAAAATTTGTGGGGTCCAAAAAGTACACTTTATAAAAACAATCAGAGCATGATAAATAGATGAAAATTGCACTTGTTTGATGATTTATGACAAGAAAGTTCATACAGTATAGAGATAAAAGTTTCAAAATACTGTGTACTATTGTAAAATATTTGTACTGTAATATGGTTTAAAGAGGATTTACAGAAAAATTGGATATTAGTCGAGAAAAGTTTGAAGAGTAACCAATTATTCAAACATAAGGACACATAACCTTAAGATGAGAGGTCTCTGTATCATCTTGTCACATCTCCAAAACACTAGCGTCTTTTAAAACACTTGCGTGAGTGACACATATTTGTAATGGTATTCAATATAAATATTTATAGTCCCCTGTAGCCTCTTTTAAGACCCTTTGATTTATTCAGAATTCTCCATTTCGCTGTTCGCTCTTTGAATCAGAACGTTCGCATATATGGTGCATATATGTACTCAAAAAGGACAAAATTTGATTGGTCAATATTTTTCAACGATGCATTTCGTGTAGCTATTTGTGAGACCCGAAAGTTCTAAATCAAATTAATTACGCAATTTTGTTTTTACACCCGCAAGCTAAATAAAAAAATGACACCATCGGAATTCTTCTTCTTTGTCATTGAATTAATAGTCAGTATACCAGATTTAATCAATAAAAGATTATACAATTAACAACAAAATTCGGAAACGAGTATGTAAGATTTGCTTTCGAACCACTAAACTTGACCTAGATAATAGCGACGTGTCTTCTTTGGTCAAATGCTCAGTTGTTTGTGGGTTTTCAACGTAACTCTATAATGTAATATGAAGATGAGTACTTTTATTCAGTTGTTGCATCGATGTTACAGTTTGTAGTGCGGTAATATTGGCATGAACGTGTTGAAAGTCGAATGGAATTGCTTTTTCCAATATGGCGACTAGTCACGTGACTTCTTCTCTTCCGGAATATACTCTCATTTTTAATCATTGTTTTCACCCCGTTAGGAGCCAATAAAATGAAAAAAAATATATGTTATATAAAGATTATTAAAAGACTAATTGTTTCTGATAGTTTGTTTTCTCCGATCGCATGGAGATTCGATCGAAAATATCGCTTGAAAAATGGGTATGAAAATCCCCATGTTAAACCAACGGGGAAAAACAAGGTAGAAAAATTTTGTTCCCCCGCGAACTGCATCATGGGAAATATTTTGACCTTATAAGGAAAAACTTTCGCGCCATCTTTATTAGAGATTCAATACTACCGAATCCGCGATTTTAAGAATTTGTCTCAATGAGAGACAACACGGATTAATAGTTAGACTGGCTGTATGTTTAACTGGTTGAACTTGTGTTTTGGAGCTACTGACTAGATGATGTAGAGAGCTCAGGTATAGAACACTGTGTTGAGTAGGTATATAGAGTGTCACTGTAGTCATGGTGATCCCTTATTTCTTCTCTTAATGTTGTTTGATCTTCTTACACTGGAGAAGAATGGGTTCTAGGAATGCATCCCTGTGTTATTGCTAGTAGCTGGTTGTTGTATTGTTCAATTTGCATTCAATGAAACAATTGCAGACCACCAGCATTAGAGCTAGTCTTGCATCAAACCTCTGCTCCCCATTATCTGTTTCCATACTGATAGGTCTTCATGTTAGTAGGGTATATACAAGAGTTTGGTGCAAGACTACACAGGAGCAATAATACCTCAATTAAATAATGAATTTAAATTATAAATTAAATTATAGACTTTCCCTCTGGATAGTGTTATATTGATGTCTACAACTTTTTTAAATGATTACAGTGGCATTCTGTGAATTAGATGTTCTAAATATTGCCACAACGGTAACTTAGATGTATGAGTATAGTAAATCTATTTTTATTGAGTACAGTATAATAATAAAAATAAGATTGTGATGTACACAATGTAAATGTAGTCAAATCATTTGTTCTGTTTTGTTTCATTAGTGATAATGATTACCCTAAGGAGACAATAAATACGCAGACAGACTCCCTCCCCCTGGAGTACATCATAAAAATCAAGACTTACAAAATAAAGTTGCTTAGATTATCAATTCATCATGGCATAAGATGATGACTTCAAAAGTTATACAGTTGATGATGAGACTAAATGCAAGTTAGTAGAAATAATCTTGATTTACCTCATCAAATATTCAAAATTAGTCAAGTGATATCATCTTCATGAAATCTACATGTAAAATTACTACTAAAAATGTGATTTAGAAAATGGTTTATCAATCAAAAGACATCTACGTCGGAAAGATTCCTTGTTCATGGACCCCATGTTATAAAATCACAAATACTTCTTATACTGGACATAACTTGACAGATTTCCATTAGTATAATTATCAGACAAATAAGGGTATTATGAAAATTGAACCATTACAAACTGAACAATATTCAACTTTCTATCTGTTCTGTTATCTGACCTGAATTAGCTACCTGGTGGTGAAACTGGTAACTACCTATAGGCACCTGGGTACAATGAAACCTGTATATCCAAACACCTCAATGTGAACACTTTCCTCACTCCCAACTTTGTTATCTCCCATTGATTTACATGTTTATGAAACATTGAAATATGAACACCTGCTAATCTGAACACTTTTGGCCAGTCATAGTAAGCTACCTATTGGCATCTGGGTACAATGAAACCTGTATATCCAAACACCTGTCTAATCCGAACACCTGTCAATGTGAACACTCCTCACTCCCAATCTCCCATTGACTTACATGTTTATAAAATATTGAAACATGAACACCTGCTAATCTGAACACTTTTGAGCAGTCCAAGAGATTGGGATTAAACAGGTTTTACTATAATTACACTTCAACATGAAGCAATTTTGTATTGCTCTAATATCAAGAAAATATCACATAACAAGAAAAAAATAGATTGGTAAATAAAATTCTATATTTCGATTTGCTTTTTTTTATTTTATTTACATATTGTTCATCATCTAAACATTTTTGACAGTATAGGCCTGTTTTGGTTTCCAGATCAATTTATCTCATCTCCCAAATACATAAGCAGTGTTGTGTCTCCATTCAAACACCCTTATTATTCACATATGTGTATGTGGATCTGTACATTATTTCTTAGCCTTATTGACAATCGACCTATGTAACGCTTCATACAGAATGAATATCTTTAATATCATTTTTCTCATCTCTTGGAATTTTTGTTCTAGCTCATTTCTAATATTTTTGAATGTGGTTACATCGCAATAAAATAAGATTCATTGAAGCAAGCTATTTTTCTGAATATGACCTCTTTCAAGCCTGTTTGACCACTCATGAGGGATAATGCCTCAATAAAATCATGAACGTTTTAATACATTGTGACGAATATATTTTACGAGAAAAAATTGTCTGAATTAATTAATGAGAAACTGAGAATATGTAAAGTTGCACGATATGAATGTTGCAAATACTCATTTAGTAAACGGATATTGGCAAATAATCATACTTTAGGGTACAAAAACAAGAATAGCTGTTAAGTCATTCAAAGATGCTTTGGTGTGTTAAAAAGCTGAACAATCATATGGCAGACATTTAATTTGGCAATAAAAAAAATCAGATCAAAGATACAAACTTGTAACAAATAAAATAATTGCATAAGTTCAAAAGCATATTATTTTACAAACTATGCTACAAAAATCCAAGCAGATTTGTAAGGATGACAAAATTATCTTTATAAATGCTGAGTTACTTTACAAGGGAAAGCAAAGGATATTTACAAGGTGGATACCACGAGGATTGGATCCCAGGCTTCCAACTCGATATTCTGCCATATATGGAGATGTTGTGATTACAAAATTCGAATTCAAATAGCTGTCATTTTGTTCAGTTCAAGTTTCCAATTAGTATTATCTATGCACGCACTGTAAATGATATCATTTATGCAACGACACAGTCAGATATGACTGAAAAGTTTTCGAAACTTTATTCAGTGTAACATTCACTGATTTCAAATCCTTTTTAAGTTTCTTGGCTAGTGTATTAATATTAATATAATCACTACGGGGGGTATCCTCCTCATAGTCACTATCACTGTCATCCCTTATTTCCAACATGTCTTTCTTTGAGAGTACCTCCCCCTGATAGGGTATTATGTAGTTGTACTGTGTGTTGAGTTCCCCCTCAGGGTCTACTAGGAAGTTCCACTCCAGATCCTTGAGGTGTGACAGCTTACAGAGTGTGGCATATGTGTCCTTGTTAACTTGTCCCGACTGCAATTAATACAGTTGAATTAATCAGTTGATTACAGCATAAGGAAAGTAAAAGAAAATGATTGCAAAAGCTCACCATATGAGCTAAAAAATACATAGATTTGCAAACAACTTTTGAATCGTTATCGAATTTAATTTTATCAAATCTGCCTAAAGCGCTATCATACTTGTCACTTCTACAATTATATCTGTTTTTAGCACAATCATGTTTCTAGCACAATCATATTTGCCTCTGGCACAATCAAACAAGTCTGCAGCACAATAATACTTGTCGGTAGCACTCTCACTATCCTACATACATGTACATATATGTATAAGGCTCATCATAATCCCCTTTAGCAAAATCAGAACTGTCTGAATAATTCTGATTTGTCTAGTACAATACAGGGTATTAAGACTCACCTATGGCACAATCATAAACCTATAACAGAGTCAGTCATACATATATAGCACAATCATACCTTTTCACCTCCTTGAGGACAGAGTTGCAGGGAATTCAAATACGTCATCTTTGGCAGCAGCTCATTATGAGACACATCAAACAGAATCAGCTGTAACACGTCAAGTCTGAAAAACACAGACACAAATTAATCAATCTTCAGTATTTAATTATTGAATCTTGCTAAGAGAGCAACCACATATAAAGTATAATATAACATGTTAATAGTTGCTTCCTAGCCTCATGATAATCATCCTTGAACTGTGGGGAAAGTGGTCCTTTGAAACCCAAAGGAAATTTATTTGTATTAATAGATGATCAACATGAAAAGGCATGCTATTGACCAATTTTGGTATTATACAAGAAAATGAGAATTTCACACCCATTCGAGGAAAAAGCATCAAATATCTACCACATGGAGCATTTTTTCATTTGGACACACACTTTTTATTTAGCTTAGCACTTTTTATTTCTAAATACAGGTTGAAAATAGCAGAAAACAAGTACATGTATACACAAGACATCAACATGCAATATGTCACCACCTGCCATTTGTTTCACATGCTGAACACCAACTGCCATATTTCAAACACCAACCACCAAACACAGTCCACAAAAAGTTGGAGACTATAACAAGATGTCACTACTTCTAGTGGTGACATAACAAGATGTCACAACTTCTAATGTTGACATAACGATATACATATTGGATAAAAATTCATGTTATACTTACTTCTTGAGGTTTTTAAAGACCAGTGGAAGACCTTGAGCTGCAGACTCTCCACCTTGTTCTAATCGCAACATGGTAATCCCTGTCATTGCACTGATGTGTTGATACATCTAAAACGAGTATTACAGATGGAATCATAAATCTAAAACATGATACTACAAGTATAAACAAGGCATTGACATGCAACATGTCACCACCTGCCATTTGTTACAGATGCCGAATGCCAAACACTGTTTTTATCAGCCAATACCGACTAACAACAACTTTTGGTTAGAATTGAGTCTGGAATAGTAGGTTTCAACAGTACTGCTTTATTTTTGTCTGCATGATATGACACAACATAGTCTCTTACCTCACTGGACCAGTCTGTACAATTCCCAAGTTCAAGCTTAGAGACATTCTTCAGGGAGGCGAGAAATGCAAGCTCATCTCCATTGCCTTTTAGATTCAACAGTGACTGGAAATCATAAAGAAAAAACTTTAAGGATAGAGAATTTATTTTGATGATGTAGGAAATGGCAAATATGTAGTGAACTTAGGTTGGAGTAATTAATCCAAATGTTTTTCTATGTGTACTATGTGTATTGTTTACCAAGCTCATTGATTTTTCCCATTGTCACTATATTGTGGTTTTGCAATTAGTTTTAAAAATGATTCAAAGAAACCTAATGATTGTCACAACAACCTTATTGAATATTATCAGTACAGGAGAGGACACAAAAAGTATGATATCTGGTGTTCTGTCCTATACTCCAAATTGCAGCTTTCAACATTTTTCTCCATAAGTTTTGAAGAATATATGATTTTACTGTATTCATCTCCAAATCGGATTACAAACAAAAAACATTTGAGGCTTATGCTGTATTCTATTTTATAATTAAATTAAATCTGTTATGTTTCAAAATAGATTTTTGATCTTTTATTAACTATACCTTCTATAAATGTAAGAGTAAAATGGTTACTTGACCCAGAATGAAAGTTCCCAAAATGAAATGTAAATCCCTTTGTGTAGAAATAAAACAAAGCTTCCATAACTTCTTTACTTAGATAGTACAATTTAAATACAAATGCTTAATGTTACAATCTCTTACCAAGGTCTGCAGATTTTGAAAACCATTTTTCAATAAAATTGAGTCTGATGAAAATGATGTCAAGGCATAAGGGTTATCTCCTTTAATGAAGAGCTCTTCCAGTTTCCGTGACTCCGCAAACTTGCTGAGGTCCAATGAAGGTGTGTAATTCCTTAAAATATAATAAATAAATCATGATAATTAAAATTAAGCAGCAAATATGACTTGATAGTTATGAAAGGGATCCTGATACTTATTATATATCAAGGTTTTATCAAGTTTCTCAAAAATCGTTGCCCTGTTTTGTAACACACTCCAAGTCTTGCCTACATATTTAAATGTTGTCAGATTCCCCAGTGAACAAAATAGCGTATGGACGGACAGATGGATGATTGAGTGGGTGATTCCATGTACTTACTCAGAAGTGCTGATCTTTAATAAAGTCCTCAAGGATCTCAGCTGTTTCATGTTTTCTCCAACTTCATGTACAATTGACACCTGACATTTCCCCAACTGTATTCGCTTTAACGTATACAGGTATTCAGCAGCATTTTTGAAATTCTCCCAGAATTCATTTGTCCTTGCTTGTGCAGCCCCCGTCATATCCTGTAATATACAATATAAATGTTTGACAAAGAATATTTTCTTAAATGATTATCAAAACTCAAAAATTCAAATAGTAAAGTGCTTTTCACAATTTCACAACCTTTTAGTGAAAATTATAAGATTTCAGAATTTTTTTTACATTTTCAATTGAGAATTGTGTCCTTTGTTAAGACGTTTCTGAACTGTTAACATTACAACAAACAAGTGAAACCTGTATATCAAAACACCTATCTATTTTTTCCTCCCATTGACTCCCATGTTAAAAAAATCTTGAAATGTGAACACCTCCTAATCTGAAGTCATATTTGAAAAATTAACCTGTCTAAATAATCTGAACACTTTTCATAGAATATGACATGTTTCATGCAAAATTGCTCAAATATTTGAAAGTTAAGCACTGATTTGTTATGATATCAAAACTTTTGGAAAAAACCTTGAATGGACTCAATCATCACTAAATTCATTTTAATCGAATTTATAAATAACTGGAATACAATTAGCTATGTGGTCAAAGCAACTATAAATATTTATTGAGAATGTGTTCACATTTCTTCAAAATCCATAAGCTTGCTTTTGCAAAAACCTTTAAATGCAAACATGACATGTTATACTGTACTTACCAAACTCTGGACCATCATATCAGAGAAAAATTCTGCAGCCCTTTCCCAATTTGAAATTTTCACTTTATGAAGTCTTACTTCACGCCACTGAAATAAAAAATTGAAATATCATTTTAACTGTTATAATACACTGGTTAATGAAAACACAGAATTAAATCCTGCTGATGTGAAAAAGTCAGTCCACCCTAGTGGGGATTGAAACCATGACCCCTTGCTTTCTGGGCAAGTCTCAGTCTAATGCATCTGAGGAATAAATTCTAAGCCACTTCATAACAAAAAATTAAATGTACATAAAACATGTACATGAAAATGAAACTGAAGGCCCTTTTTATTGAAGTGTTGAAGGTCTGGGAATTATCAATACAAAGTCGCTCATGTTAACTTGTATAAATATTATTGTAGTAAACCATTGCAATAGTGATGAAAAATGGTATAGTGAATGCATGCTCAAAGCTTAATTTTGAATGGCCTTATCTATTATCAGTTTTAGCAATGTACATGTACTTACCAAGCGTGTATGTTGTGCAGTTTTTCTCCATGCCCTGCAAACTTGACTAGCAGCCATTAACCCCTTCAATCCAAGGTGCGAAAATATTTCAAGCAAGCATTCAAACCCCTGGTTCAGTTTTTTCACATAGCAAAGTGTAGGGTTAATGTCTTTACATTTTCTTGTTATCAATTTGATCTGTGGCATTGAGGAGGTTGAGATGGAGGGAATTGTTGCATTTAGATTTGAATCAGATTTAGTTGACGATGGCTCATCTGTATCCATTGGTGTGGCTGCATTCTGATTGGGTGACGTCATAGGTGAAGTCGAGGGTAACATCTTCCCATCGGGTGCCTTAGCGGTAACTGCAGCCAGTGGTTTATTCAATAATGATACAAATCCGGGAGTTGTTTTTGCTGTGTCCACAATAGGCAGATTATCCTCAGATGCATCTTTTTTGGGAAGTGTATCCGCAGGAAGGAACACCTTCACAGTATCATTTAACTTTATGAAACATTCTGGTGGCACCAGAATAGACGTCTTGCCAACAAGTAGGGAGAGAGGCATTGATAGGTTTATTCTAGAGATAACATTGGGAGGTAGGGTCAACAACTGACCACTCACCAAAGTCTGATTAGGATCCTCCTTTACTTTACTACTAGATGTTGTCGACGTAGATGGGGAGATCTGGACATTGAATGCTGAATTGCTCGTCACATGAACTGGGGGTGGCTGATTATTGGTTTGTATCTGGGGGACAGCTAGTTTAGTAACAGGGGGGCGACCAAGTATTTGGGTGCCTTGATTTGAGTTGACACTGGATGCAGACGGGAGTACTAGAGGGGCATAATTGACAGAATTGAGGTTACCTGCGGGGAGAGTTACTATTGGGTTAACCACCATTGGATTTATATTACTAGAGACTGGCACTGCGGTTAACCTGGGTGCGTTATTCATGGCGTTTAGAGTCAGCTGTTGAGATTGTGGTAGAGGTGGATTGGATATTTCTGTCATAATTCCACCAGGGCCAACTTGTACAATACGTTGTGGGGTTGGAGTAGATTGGTTGGTATGCACAACAAAAGGCCCCTGAGTGGGATTCAATGTGGTCGTTACCTGCGAATTAGTTGCAACAACTGGTGGTCTTAAATTGTTCAAAGGGGATTGCATAACAACTGAAGCAGTAGATGCTACTTTTACTGGATTCACATTCATAACAATTGGGTCTTTGACAATTGAATATGCCGATGTTCCTGGTCCTTGGATCAGCTTCATAGCACCAATGGAAGCTGGGCTCATCATCCGTACAGTCTGCGGTATAGGGGGCTTATTGGGGGCTTGCTGGTTAGGGGCTAACTGGAGAGGTGGTGGGGGACGCATTGCAGGCTTTGCAGTGTTTGGAGGTATTGTCTGAGAGGGGTAGTGTTTCTCCACTAAACGTTCCTTGCCGCCTGTTGTACTCGCAGTTAAGCAATTCTGAAAAATGTTAAAGTTTGGTACTAACAAATGGCTATCCTCCTATTCATGAATAAATACCATGGCAAAAGTCTTAAATAAAAATATATTTTCTTCATTCATTCACTAAAGGTCAGTATACCGTTATTCTGTTTTTTTGTATACAAATGCCAAACCACAACTAGAAAATGAATATATAACAGATGGATAAGATGACTAGTCAATCAGTTATAGATCTACTGTATGTGTTAAAGTACTTTACTGATCATTTCCAAATGAGCAAGTCTTTTGCCATACCCGGGTTGCAAAAATATGAAATCAAGTACAATTTAACCTTTATAAGTGCTTAGTATGAAGGTATCAAAGGCACTAACATGAAAAATGTCACCACCTGCCATTTGTTACAGATGCCGAACTCTGAACACCATCACAAAAAAAGTTGGAGACCATAATAATATGTCACCATATGTGGTGATATAATAAAAATTGAATACTTACGCTACAAACAAAAAGAACACTGTCTTTGACAACATCATTGAAGTTAGCGCACTTGGTGTGATACAGACACATACATATGCCACACTGGAGGTTAGGCATCTTCCCCTCTTGACCAGGGCATGTCATTGTACATGGTTCTAGTCGGGGACGCTTTGGAGTACTGGACCTAAATATATATTGAATATACACTTATTATTAATCAACCTATGAGGCAAAGTTAACTTGAAATACTGGGTGAGTTGTTATGGCTTGTTATACGAGGGTTGACCAATGTGCTGTTGGCCAAGGCATGTCATTGTACATGGTTCTAGTCGGGGATGCTTTGGAGTACTGGACCTAAATATAAATTAATATACACTTATTATTAATCAACCTTAGAAGCAAAGTTAACTTGAAATACTGGGTGAGTTGTTATGGCTTGTTATACAAGGGTTGACCAATGTGCTGTTGGCCAAGGCATGTCATTGTACATGGTTCTAGTCGGGGACGCTTTGGAGTACTGGACCTAAATATAAATTGAATATACACTTATTACTAATCAACCTAAGAGGCAAAGTTAACTTGAAATACTGGGCGAGTTGTTATGGCTTGTTATACGAGGGTTGACCAATGTGCTGTTGGCCAAGGCATGTCATTGTACATGGTTCTAGTCGGGGATGCTTTGGAGTACTGGACCTAAATATAAATTAATATACACTTATTATTAATCGACCTATGAGGCAAAGTTAACTTGAAATACTGGGTGAGTTGTTATGGCTTGTTATACGAGGGTTGACCAATGTGCTGTTGGCCAAGGCATGTCATTGTACATGGTTCTAGTCGGGGACGCTTTGGAGTACTGGACCTAAATATAAATTGAATATACACTTATTACTAATCAACCTAAGAGGCAAAGTTAACTTGAAATACTGGGCGAGTTGTTATGGCTTGTTATACGAGGGTTGACCAATGTGCTGTTGGCCAAGGCATGTCATTGTACATGGTTCTAGTCGGGGATGCTTTGGAGTACTGGACCTAAATATAAATTAATATACACTTATTATTAATCGACCTATGAGGCAAAGTTAACTTGAAATACTGGGTGAGTTGTTATGGCTTGTTATACGAGGGTTGACCAATGTGCTGTTGGCCAAGGCATGTCATTGTACATGGTTCTAGTCGGGGACGCTTTTGAGTACTTGACCTAAATATAAATTGAATATACACTTATTATTAATCGACCTATGAGGCAAAGTTAACTTGAAATACTGGGTGAGTTGTTATGGCTTGTTATACGAGGGTTGACCAATGTGCTGTTGGCCAAGGCATGTCATTGTACATGGTTCTAGTCGGGGACGCTTTGGAGTACTGGACCTAAATATAAATTGAATATACACTTATTATTAATCAACCTAAGAGGCAAAGTTAACTTGAAATACTGGGTGAGTTGTTATGGCTTGTTATACGAGGGTTGACCAATGTGCTGTTGGCCAAGGCATGTCATTGTACATGGTTCTAGTCGGGGACGCTTTGGAGTACTGGACCTAAATATAAATTGAATATACACTTATTATTAATCAACCTAAGAGGCAAAGTTAACTTAAAATACTGGGTGAGTTGTTATGGCTTGTTATACGAGGGTTGACCAATGTGCGGTTGGCCAAGGCATGTCATTGTACATGGTTCTAGTCGGGGACGCTTTGGAGTACTGGACCTAAATATAAATTAATATACACTTATTATTAATCAACCTATGAGGCAAAGTTAACTTGAAATACTGGGTGAGTTGTTATGGCTTGTTATACGAGGGTTGACCAATGTGCGGTTGGCCAAGGCATGTCATTGTACATGGTTCTAGTCGGGGACGCTTTGGAGTACTGGACCTAAATATGAATTGAATCAGTGTTCGCGTTGACGCCGTTTTTTTCCATTTTTACGGAAATTTCAGAAGGTTGGACGTAAAAATCAAAATCAACTTACGTCCCTAGGACGCAAAAATTATAAACTGCTTCAAGATAACTTTTACTGCAGCACAGTAGCGGTGAAACATGATTTTCATCAAGATTTTCAAACTCACTACCTTGATATACGAGCAATGATCCAGGTATATTTATATCGACAAATCTGATTGGCTATCATGACTACCGAAGATTAACAGGGTTTCCAGTATGAGACATGGATTTTGATTGGTTCCGATATATTCCGGAAAATGCCGCAATCGAAATGGAAGATCAAAACATACAATATTGCAGAAATCCCCTGTGGTTCCCCACAAATTGAAACGATTGTTTTTCACGATTATCTTTATCATTTCCACTAGAAACCATTACATAATGATCTAATGTTATACATCAAGATAAATGTTTAATGATAGATCGAGGTTTTTCATCTAAGAATAAGGAGAAATGTTAATAAAAAGAAGCAAAAGTTCACGACCTTGACATGACCTTCAAGATCGCAGGTTTGTAAAATGTGAAAACAAAACTCTTAATTTGAGCATTTCCTTTATTCATTTCGGACTATTTTGGTATAACATTACTTAAGAATTGTGTAAAAAGGACCCAGTGATAGATATTTATCGGGAGGATGCATCAAATTACAATATATGTCATTTTTATCCCATTATAGTGTAAGCACTTATCGCCCACTTTATTTTCACTTTCACAATATTTTCTTGAACTTTGTGAAGAAATAAGAGGGACGCAAAAAAATTAGATGGGGACTCAAATTTTTCAAATGGGTTGCGTCCCTGGGACTCAGAAATTTTAATGGCCAGCGCGAACACTGTGAATATACACTTATTATTAATCAACCTATGAGGCAAAGTTAACTTGAAATACTGGGTGAGTTGTTATGGCTTGTTATACGAGGGTTGACCAATGTGCGGTTGGCCAAGGCATGTCATTGTACATGGTTCTAGTCGGGGACGCTTTGGAGTACTGGACCTAAATATAAATTAATATACACTTATTATTAATCAACCTAAGAGGCAAAGTTAACTTGAAATACTGGGTGAGTTGTTATGGCTTGTTATACGAGGGTTGACCAATGTGCTGTTGGCCAAGGCATGTCATTGTACATGGTTCTAGTCGGGGACGCTTTGGAGTACTGGACCTAAATATAAATTGAATATACACTTATTATTAATCGACCTATGAGGCAAAGTTAACTTGAAATACTGGGTGAGTTGTTATGGCTTGTTATACAATGGTTGACCAATGTGCTGTTAGATTTTTAGAGCAAACTGTGGAGAACTTTTGGATCAATCCTCGTACATGTACTGATCCACAAAGTATATAATGCAGTGGAAATCACACCATCAAGTAGACACCCAAAAGTTAACAAAGTGTAGAATTCTTTAACATGTAAACAAACTTCTAACAGAAAACAAAATGGCCTGCCAAAAGTTAATCAGCTCTCAAACTCAATACCCTCTAACATGAGTACAAAGTAAAAAATCGATCACGATCACAATTCCAATCACAAGCATGTCCAAACCTGAAGCCTATTTCCCAATGGTGGCGTGAAAGAATTCTCTATTATGCAACCCTTATCGGACGTTATGGCATTTTTAAATGCCACTTTTTTTGAAGTGTAAAATATGAGATATAGACTGAGTACAGCTTAACATAATAATAATGAAAGCGTATGAAAGAAGGGGACCTCGAAGGCTACTTAGCTTCAAAAATTGGACACATAACATTGATGGACTAAATTTTCATCAAAAAAAAATCTGGATATATTATATAAACAGGCAATCTTACGTGGTGTCTTTTCTATCAATCTGGGCCTGGGACCGGAACTTCTTAGGCTTTGGACCACCCCCTTGTGTCATTGATTTTGGTCCAATCCTCTTTTTTGGTGTAGGTTTAGCTTTTAGTTCATCTTCCCACTGGCCAAGAACATCAGATATCAGTGAAGATGGATTGCTTGGCTCTGAATCCTTGGTCAACACTTCTGTTGTGTCTAGTTCTGCTATCTTGGCTGGGGAAGGCCCAGGGGTGCAGATTTTGATTTTGAACTTCTTTGCACTTTTTGGAGTTTTTCCTGGTTTGGTGTTTTTGGCGGGCATCCCCCCTTTACTCTTGCCTGCTGTACGAATTTCCTCCAAAGGAGGCTCAAATATAGGACCCCGCTGGAAACTAAAGTTTTTAACTGTTAGACCTTCTACGTCATGGGTCTCACAAAACTCGCCTATTTGCACCATTGAGCGCAATTTTCTACCTTTAAGACGAGCAGGTGGGTGATAGTAAATATCACATACTGTTTTTGCATGTCCATCATCTGTTGTTACAGGATTACGAAATACTACTTCTCTTCTCCAACCTGAAATAATAATTAAAACAATAGCTTGGTAAAAATGATCTGTTGAGGTAATAACTTGAGAAAAAAGGCATTAACATGCAAAATGTCACCACTTCCCATTTGTTACAAATTTTAAACCCCGAATGCGCACCACCAAACAACATCACAAAAAATTTAAGACTATAACAATATGCCACCACTTGTGGTGTGGTGACATAATTTTTCTTGAAATAATACAATGTCACCAGTTGTGGTAGTGACAAAAATGGTGACTGTAATGATAAGATGACATGAAAGTATGCAGATAGTAAGGCTTTTAATAAAGGTTTCCAGTGAATGCTTAAGTATTGCAAATTAAGCAACAATTACACAACAAAAACTCTTAATGTTGTTTTAAATTTACATACCTTTTTCAAATGGAACAAGCATGTCAGATGTGATTCCCATCTCTTTCTGGCGATTGTATTTTTCTGGAAAAGTAAAGTCAAATACATTATGACATTTTAAGGAAAAATGCTACACTAGTAATACATGGATGCACTAATAAAGTAGATCAGGGAGTCTGATACTGTAGATTGGGTTAATTTGGCGCCCGCTTTAATTTGGCGAATTTGGCGAAATTGAAAAATTCGCCAATATAAATCTTCGCAAAAATTTAGAATGAAATCCCCGGGTATTATCTAGGTTATTTCGTCCAGTGTATTAAAGGTCACTTCCGGTTTATTTTTTCAAAAAAGATGAAAAAATGTCTCTCATAAATTGGCTCAGAACTGGTCAGTCACTCATTAATACTCAGGGAAAACTAGAAAGGAAAAGCATGGTATAGTAGCAGCATCGATTGAGGTGCAAAATGTAAAGGATGGTCTCACAAAAATGTACAAACCTGGTGAATAGCGCCAGTGGTCCTCAAAAGAAAAAATGAACATAGTCAAACATCCCCATTTACATGGTAATTCGCAAAGACCGCGTAGGTTTAACATCTTTTGCATATCCGCCAAATTAAATAGCCGCCAATATGCCAAAAATGGCAAAATCGCCAAATTAAGTAGCGCCAAATTAACCCAATCTACAGTAGTTCACGATACTTTTCTTGTGAGTATTTTAAACTCAAAATCTAGTTAGAGCTAATTGAAAAAGATATGAACAACAACACATCCAGTACATCTAAGTTACTTTCATAGATGGCAAAAGAAGTTTTCATATTCAAAATACAAAAGATATTATACTGTCCATCTAGACTACTTAATTTTAAACCTGAAGGTAAATCAACAAGTTTTATGACAGTTTTATAACCACAAGCCTTTGTGATCCCTGAGTACACACCTACCCAGTGTGAGAAGTTTTCATACCTGTATGGTCAAGCTTTGAGACGGGGTCAGGGGCTTGTAGCTAGACTAGTTTTTCAAATAAGAACTAATGCCTCAGTCACATTTGATCTATAACAAACACACGATGGCCATAGCTGCGCAAAATATTGAAAAATATGCAGCATAAAATATAGTGATAAGCAGTATGATGTAGATATTCTATATCAATTTTGCAAAGTTACAGCCACCGTATGTCTACCATAGAGCAAATGTGACTGAGGCTTAAGTCTCAATAATTTTCTCCATGTTAACTCACTTGGATATGTTTTCTTGAGCATTGATTTTGTGGTAGGACTTGCTGTCATAGAGGATTCACTTTCCTCATTTTCTGTTGTAGAAATCTCAAAATCTTTTGGTTGTTTGCTGAATCTACTGTCTTCACTTTCATTGCTCTCTTCAGGAGGCTCAACCTTTATCTTAACCTTCAAAGGGTCTGCTTGTTCAGATTGTTGACTTGTTTCAGAAGGTGCTGGTGTTTCACTAGCCACAGATGTTGAATCAGTATCTTTTGTTTCATTTTTCTTCTCTGTAACATTGCTCTCTGCTGTTACATTGTCATTATCTGGAACTGGAACACTGCTATCCTCTGCGACATTGTTTTCCTCACCAGTTTCCATGGCTTCATCTTTGTGGCCATTTGACTCCTCTTCATTTTTAGTGCGAATTTCAAAGCTATCATCAGCACTCTGTGTTTCTATTTTGTTATTATCTCCACCTTCATCGATATGGAGATTATTTTCACCTTCAGGAGAGGAAGCTCCAGCGAGACGATTTTCTAATTTCTTTAGCCGCTCAACGTCAACTCCAGATGGAAGATCCGCCATATTAGATAATCACCTGTAAATATTGTAAATTTCTGATTAAATGACACTGAAATACAAATGGATGAAACATGATATTATAAAGTGGTACTTAAACCCTTCAAATGAGTCATATTTTGTTGGTCACAAGATTTGGTCTTGAAACCTAAGTATACCTAAGTGTCATCCTACTCGAGTCTCCAACAATTCTCATGTAATCTGAAAGAATGTTTTATCCAGCACTCGATCATTTATGATCATTTATTCATACTCGTCTTTGTTTGAAAAGATTCAACCTGGGAGATGCAACTAATGAGTATGACTTTTGTCTGCCAGTGTGAAAATATAAATCTTTGGATTTTTCTGTTGTGTTTTCAGTGATTGCTTCATTCAAAATGTGACATAAACTTTTTCTAATGTTGATATCAATCTATATCATAGAGAACTAGAAATCGGAAACTCCACGGAGTAGAAATCCCAACGAACACATAAATCATGAATTTGTACAGACACAATGTAATTTTTTTTTTTGTGAATATACTACCAAAATTTCAAATAATAATTAGAGGTGTCACGGTTTCCCAATATTGGACCGAATTTCGGTCAAAATGCTTCGGTTCGGGATACGGGACAGAAAGGATTAATATCGGTACATAAATTCCTTCCCTAAAATGCATGAAAAACGTGTATAAATAGCGAGGAACACCTCTGATTTTGTTCTAGATGTGTGCCTAGATTACACTTCTTTTCATTGAAAAGTGTTATTAACGGACTCACGATTTCAGGTGATGATAATGCTTAAATGCTAGTTCGTAAATTTCTTCATCGTCGTTCGCAAATCGAGTGCATTATCAGTATGCCGGATGTAGAAAAGAAATTGAAAAATCGAGCCGGCATCTAAGTCAAAAAAGTCGGCAGTTTGGAATATTTTAGGACTAAAATATCACAAACGAATTGGTGATAGTACACCATGCAGATTATGTGAAATGCCGATCACATTCGCGGCAGATGCTTTATATTAGATTTTAATTGGCATTTTTCATATCTGAATATGATTTTGAAAAGTGAAACTGCCATCATCAGACATTGCATCATTTTTCTTTAATGTTCTGTCCCGTCCCGAAAGTACCGTGTCCCAGACCATTTGTACCAGCTTGTACCGTACCTAAATATTTTTGGACCGTGACACCTCAACAATAATATTCATTACTTTGGTTTAAAATGAAAAACATAAGATTTTTATGAAAAATTTCTGCCATTTCTATTTATTTGAGTTATCTTCCGGATGGACGGACGGACAGACAGACTGACAGACGGACTGACGGATGGAGGGCTTCAGTATATCCCTACTGAACTTCGTTCATTGGGATAATATGTTATTACCTCTTTTTCGACTATTTGAACCAATCTGCAAAAATCTATGGATTTGTAACCAAATATGTACTCAGTTTTAATACAAACGGAGTTGTAAAATAATTTCTAAACGTTTAACATGTAAAATATTAGTAACTCAAGAGTTGACATGTTAGTAATACTATCATGAGGTCAAATAAATTCACTTGCTCCATATAAGGAAGTTCACAGGTTGGCGCAACGTGATTGGTTCACAAATAACATGCTACTTACTGATTGGATAATGATGTCACATGCCTTACAACACCGCTTCCATCTATTGAGTGGATATTTAATGAGTAAAAGAGGAAGCCATTTTATATTATTCATATTACTGCATGTGTTTATATTATCAAGAATGCGTCCTATATTCGCTATACATGTAGAATTCCAAACTACATGTAACCCCCTAAATCAATCGCCTGAGTCGGTTAGACTCTAATTCAGTTCATTATCTACATGTAGCTCTATTAGTGCTACATCACATGATCATTCATGAATTGTGATGTTTTCTATAATTGTCCAATTATCCGCAATAACTTGCAGTAGATATTAGGCCTACTGGTACCAGGTAGTAAATCTAAACATTGGTGATTTCCTGTGTCAATGTGTCACAAAACAAATGGGGATTTTTCCACTAGAAGCAATTTCAAATTTGATTTTTGGAAAATCAACCCAATGATATTTCACGAGAATGCATCATATATATAACACGATAGTTATGTTTCATTTAAATATGATCATATTCCAATACAGTAACAAAAACAACGACAATTCGAGCAAGAACTTACCCCGCCAAACGACTCAGTAGAACGTGAGAAATAACCTCTGACCTTTCACTCATGTCAAGAAACGAAAATATATTTTTAGCTTTATTTATCTTTTTAAATTGACATTTAATATAATCAAATCTCTCAGAAAATTTAAGGAGATATAAATAGGTAAGATAAATGCATATTTGACTACCTCAATTATTTTGAAATATTATGCATTTGACGTTCAATGATAAATTGAATGATAATTTATATCTTGTCATGACACAATTAAAGGCATGAAAATTGAACTTTTGAAATATTATTAAAAATCTGTTTTGAACAATATTAAACGCCTGTATAGAACTTAGATCTTGTGAACTAGTATGGGCAATTTAAATATCAACTCTTACATAGAGTGAGTGTTAGGTAAGTTCATCTTTGAAAGACATTCATCTGAGAGTCTGAGTCGTGAGACTCAGAATTTTCTTGAAAGTTGAATACAGGAACCATCAGATGGCTAGACTTATCCCGTTCCAGGACTATGGTCCTGTACTGAGAGCATACATTTGCCTGTACGATTACAACTTGGGAGAATTATCTACGCCCCTTCCACTTAGAAACCTACCTCAATGCATTCTAGAACTCAAAATGTTACTTCTAATATATTGGAACCGCTGATTGTCTGGGTTAGTTGGCAGAACGAGGTCTTTTTGTTTCTTATGGCTCTTTTGGTCGAAGTTCGATTAAGATGGCAGTTATAACGGAATTTCCCGAACTTTTCCGTAATAGCACGAACGTGGTATTTCGTTACGTCACTTCCGTGTAAAATGGATTTGTTTCCGGTAAGAGGGAATTTCGAAAATTTCGGACAATATTTTCAATATTTACTGCCATGTCGATATCCTATGCTCTTAACTGTATACCGAATGGTTAAACAATGTTTCTTACAGGCCAGGAAAGTGTTTCCCGCAATATAGAAGCGGCTTGTCCACCATATGCAAGAAAATAAGAAGCAATAAATATCAAAATAAGTAAAATAACAACAAATAAGATAATTTTTTTATAACAGTGGAAGGAGCTCCTCGTCCAGACCGGAAATCCACCAACCCATTTTTAAAAGTTACAAATTGCTATTAATTTATCTTTGCCTGTGAGCCTATATTCTGACCCCATTTGTTCAAAACATATCCATAGACTAGTAATTAGCATAAAATTCCATTCATTATCGATGGATTATGATATTTCGATGGCTGAAGTGGACCTTCTTTGTACTACAAAAATGTGGTTGCATTTGAAAAAATTCAAGATTTCATTCCTTACGTTTCGTTCGTATATCACTAGTTTCAGCACAAGCAACAACCTGACAATTCTTTGGAATGTATTTGCAGCTTCTACTATTATAAAAGAACAATGGAGAATAAAAGCTTATTTATTCTTTACAGGTTTCAAAAGCCACCAGTTAATACAGTTAATTCCAGGACTTATAGTCCTGCGCTCCAATAATTGTTCAGATAGTATTTCTACAATCTTGGAGAAAGTATTATATGCATTACACACTTAAAATGCCTACCTCCATACATTCCTGAGTATTTTAGGATTCTTTTTATGCAGTTGAATCACCAATTCTATGGGTTTATCGGCAGAATGAAGAGATTTTCATTTTACATCAGAAATACCTCAGCACTTTTGAAGATGTCGGAAGGGAACCCCCATAACTCGTATACCAATAATTTAGGTTTTGAGAGAAAAACATTCAACACATGTATTTTTTATACATTACCATATCACTGTTTTATTCCAGATTGGTTACTTCTAGAAGGCTCCGCAAAAATCCAAGATGGCTTACAAATCGACATGTCACATGTCGAAGTTGCTTAGACTGGAGGCAAGGATAATGCACTTAAAACACACAGGTTGTTTATCAAATAAATCGCCTAATGGAGTAACAAATAAAAGTGTAAAGCATTTTTCTACATCTACAACATGTTATGCATGTTCATATCAAAACACTTCAAGATCGACCATCCAGAGTTTTAGACAATGGCATTTGACAATACTAATGAAGTATGGCTTGCCAACTCAGAAATTACATATTCAATTTTATCATAGTAATGTAATGCCTTCTCGAGTACCAGCATGGAATCATACAAACATTATTTGCAAGCATAAGATGTCAAGCAAATCAAAGCCAATAATCGTTCCTCAACTTTGGAATGACGAGAACAATGAAAATATAAAGGAGAGATTGCTGAAAGCTAGACCTGAATCCTTTGTCCACTATGTCTTCCAGAAGGAAATTGCAAGTAGGTGCACCTTCTGACTAATATACTTTCATAGTACAAATGCATATATCATATTCTCTGCATTATACATAAAGGTTATGTCACTATTTAATGTGAAATAAAGAGTTCTCCCAATATTGGATGACCTTGGGAGCGAGGCTCTATATTTGGGCAAGAACGCAGGCATATTTCATGTCACAGTAAAGTAACTGATGTATTACATACCTTTATTCCCATGGCTACTTTGTATTGATCAATGAAGTCACACATCTGTGTGCAAGTAGAATTTGATTGAAATAAAACATGACGTCATGATATTGTCATGGTTATTAAAGAATCTAATATCAAAACGAGGTTTACAAGCGGGCCATATCGGGGTAATCGGTCAATATCGGTAGACAGCCCTCTAACTTTCACATTGACTTCCATACAAATGCTTCGCTAGCTATGTAATACAGGGTGGTCAAAAAAAATGGAAACCCTAATACCAGTTTCCGCATATCTTTGTCATTTCAAAAGATAACTCCCTGATATTTTACACTTTTGTACATCATTCAATTTGCTACCAGCCTACTTTATTTCATGACCATCAGATTGATAGTCACAATGTTACAGTAAAGAACATGCCCAGTGGCCACTATTGCGTTATGGGGAAACCTGTACTCATCGTCTAAAAGTATATGAGAATGACCTCAGAACAATTGCAAACCTCAAAAGTTAGATCATTTGTGTCATTCAGGCCATACCTGATGAGGAATGCATTCGAGTCATTGACAACTGTGCTGTTTTGCCTACAGCGCGATAATGGCCAAATCTAAAGCATCTTATTCAAAGTGCTGTAAAATTGTGACTAACAGTCTGATCGTCATGAAATATGGTAGGGTGCTAGGAAATTGAATGATGTACACATGTGTGAAATATCAGGGAGTAATTTCTTAAAGTGACAAAGATATAAGGAAAATCTAGGGTTTCCATTTTTTTGACCACCCTGTACATTTGTTGTTTAAATAATCAAACATTATGCACTTCATGTTTATTGAGACTATACTGTCAACATAAAATTCGCATATGTGCTCATTGGAACTGTGCACCCATTAGAGAGAATATGGTATCTATTACAACAGGGTTGCCACTGTCAGGGAAACGGGAAAGTGAAGAAAACGGGTGCACCCCAGTTGTCCGAAACCCAGTTGTCCGAAACCCAGTTGTCCGAAACCCAGTTTTCCGAAACCCAGTTCTCCGAAACCCAGTTTTCCGAAACCCAGTTCTCCGAAACCCAGTTGTCCGAAAAATTTAGTCATAATTTACCAGATAAAGGGGGACGCACTTCAAGCCAGTTTCATGTCATGTATTTGGCAAAATTAATGGCATGGACGCATTCTGATGTATAGATCTCTCTCTCACTTTGAATTGCATCCATTACACCACGGCGTTACCAGAATGACAGGAACGGGGGATTTATTTTACATTGTGATTCTAAAAAAGGTCATCAAAACACAATATATATTACGGAACAGTTGATCTTATCTTATTCAATATATTTTATATAGGCAAAATAAAATTAAACATTTTGAAAGCGATAAAATAAGTTAACGCATAAAACTTTAAGAATAAACAGTACACATATTACGTTGTCAAAATGTTTCGTCGCATTTAATTTCTTAGTCTCTGTCTCGATTATCAAATCGTAAAATGTAAAAGAACAAAACATTCTAAACGTAATCACTTGGGATTAACTGGAAACGAAGACAGGCTGTCCTCGTATCAAATTGGATGTTCTCCCATTCGCAAGAAGTTTCATTTTCGCCATGTACTCACTTCATCTTTTTGAATTTAATCTCTATTTCTCGAACAGAGTACCTAAATGAAGAATAATTTTTGGTTTCAAAAGATGTACACGTCAACTTTACTAAATAAATGCCCACTGGCTTGGGAAAGCTATTTTCCCTTTTATGAACGCCCATCACCCATTGGAAAAATATTGTTCCCTCTCAAAAAGCCCCATGGGGCATAAAGAAAATTGGTTTAAAAATTGTAGACCCCTATGTATGTTAATATGTAAACGCCACTTGTGACTGCAAATGTGACTGCAAAAGTATGAGAGCGCAGAAATTCTACGGCGAGCGTGACAGCGCTGTCACACTGGTCGTGTCCCGTCCCGTCTCTCAACGTACAAAGCATTCAGGCCAGAATTTAAGGAATAAGCTATAGTGAGCTGTTTCAGAACGCCGTCTGAAACGCGTTCTGATTCTGAACCCACTGTATTCATTGGACGGTGGGAGGTCGTCCATGCTTACACTTTCAGTATCCAGGGGCGGATCTGGGAACCAATAAGGGCGGGGGGGGCCCAAGTTTCAGGTCAGAGAAAAAAAAATTTGGGCCCCTAAAACCCAAAAGTGGGCCCAAATTTTGAGGCCCTATTTCCTTCAAAATTTGGCCTGAAATTAAAAAATAAGGCCTTAAAAGGCCCAGTAATGATCAAAGAGGCCCACTTTTTGGGGCCTTTTTTTGGCCCACAATTTTTTTTGGGCCCAATTTCTTTTTCTGGGCCCACCCAAGGGCCCCAGCCCGCCCCCCCCCCCCCCCCCCCTAATCCGCCAGTGGTATCTGACCCTATTATCACACCAAACTAGTTCTCACTACGCTCTCGAGAACGGGCTTAAACTGTATGGACGGATTGGAAGTACTTAGAACCGTTTGGGGTGACTGGGGTCTACTTGCCTACTCGAAAGGGTAGTTTCAAAATTTCCACGTGGTCATCACTTTCTGCAATCACGCGGTCTTCGACCGTTAATTGGAATTTTTGACCTACCAGATGCTTGAAAATCAAGGATTGCGAGTCTGATACTGCACTTTTCTTCTTCCATTATTAAAAGCAAAACAAAATTGCACTTTTGTCAGTGCATTACTTTATTGTAAAGAGTCTCTCGTTCTAGCAGCGTTTTGGTCCCCACTCCCCAGCTGTTCTTACAGCTGGGGACCAAAATTACGCTGGAAGTAGGAACTCTGTTTAAGATAATATAATAACGTACCATCAGAAAGAGATTTTTGTCATGCTTTGAATGGAACAAGTTTGAAGAAAAACGGTGCAGTATGAGACTCGTAATCCTTGATTTTCAAATATCCGGTAGGTCAAAAATTCAAATTAACGGTCGAAGTTAGGACCGCGTGGCAATTATATCGAGTGACAATGTACTAACGACGAACAGGACGTGGGGCAAAGGTTGAACTGTCTCAGAATGTATTGGGAACGAGGTAGAAATAAAGAATTCATATGAACGAGTCATGCAAGATACTAAAGAGATACAAATGCATTTTGATACTCAGTTTTTGGGCAATTAAAACTCCCTGTCTGCATTGAGTAGTTATTTATTGTCCGGTGTATAATTTTTAAACATTATCCTAATTTTTCACAAAACCTTTTTTGATTCTGCAATAGTTAATGGTTGACATCTATGGCACACTAAAAACGAATTTTTTTATGCAGGGTACGTACATGATACAGATCAAATCTTGGCTCTACTACAAACTATTACACGCTTACTTCAACAGTTCAATATATCGCAAAAACACAGTTTTGATTTTGAACAATATCACCAATGGGAGAAATTCTTAAATCTAAATGTTTGGAAAGGAATACGTTTCTACTAAAACATACAAACCTCTTATATTATGATGAAAAAAGGATAGACATCTGATATGTATATATGCCACATATATATTATATAAGTTATACGAAATGAGCATATTTTATTGATTTATCGAGAATTTGGACGAAATCTTAACAATGGGTGGTACTGAACAACCAAAATCTTCTTTTTAGATATTTTTCAGGGTAGAAATATTATCAATTGATATTGGAAAACATAATTAACCATATTTTATTGAGAAAAGGGAATGGAAAAAATTATCAAATGAATATTATATAATTGTTACGGACGTCCATACGTTATTCTAATGAGATAGATATTCCTTTCGCCAGAATATTCTTTTCGACTGTGATAATTGTCTAAAATGTTGGCGGCAGTCTTGAATTTTCACCAAGAAGGAGTGCGATTCGTGCTGGACAATGCGGTTCAAAATTTGTAGAATGTCCATATAAGTCTATGTGCCGAGAATCTAGTAAGAATATATATGATCGTGAACTTTCGGACCCATTATTGACCGGGCTAACCGATGTCAACGTGTTACCAATGTATGCTGTCCTGATTCGCGAGGTTGCGACAAGATACTAAGAAATTTAATTTTTTAATTTTCGGAGAACTGGGTTTCGGAGAACTGGGTTTCGGAAAACTGGGTTTCGGACAACTGGGTTTCGGACAACTGGGTTTCGGACAACTGGGTTTCGGACAACTGGGTTGACCCCGAAGAAAACACATTTTATCAGAAAAATAACGAATTTTCTCAAAATGAATAATTTTTTTGAAATGGTGAGAAAAATTAGGGGAAATCAAGGAATTATGATTTAAGTAAAAAGATGAAAATTGGACCACATCTTGAAAACCTACATGAATCGCAGAATGTTTTTTCAATGTTAACAATGTACATTTATTTGGTAAGCGAGTGGTTCAACAATGGAATCAACTCTGCATGTGCATGTACAGTACTGATTAATTTTACTGTTACAGAAGAAATAGTTGATTGTTTAGAGCCTCACCTTGAAGCGTCAGTGCCATTTCTAGAGTGCAATGCAGGTAAATATAAATATAGATTAAAGACCTTTGTAAAAATTTAGATAATGTTTACCTACCCATCTAAGCTTCTCCGCAATTTTTCCAAAATGATTAGCAAAAAGAGTGGTGCTAGTATTTAATCGTATTGCCGATTTAAAGTCATTCTGCAACACTTATTTATTTTGAGTTTAAAATTGTTTTGTGGTACACTTTGTTCTTTGGGATTGTAGTTTGATGTTTTGTATATTCAAGGTCCTGGTTTACTCAGCCAAGAGCTGTTGGAACGTGGTGTTGAACAGTTGACAGTGACCCAGGCACATGAACAGTTTCTTCCGTATACTCAGGTATGTTAAAGGTGGGAAAAAGTTGAATCACCATGGAATAAAGTGGGCAAATATAATGTAAAATACTATTGCCCACATTTCCCACTCTTAAATGAATTTGTGTTTATTAGATGGATAAGTCATTCTTTCCAAGGACCTCTCAAGAAAGACTTGATGACTTTAAAAGATTTTGTTTGGTGGGGTTTGCTACTCCGCAGAGTTGCTGTTCTAGTTGAATTTGAATTTGTGATATTTTATGAACTTGTTAGAACTTCAAATGCAGTATGCATTAAACCTCTTTTCAATGCTTAGCTTTTAAAAATTGTTTCTGTGTGATTATTTAGTTTCTGTGTGATTATTTAAAAGCAGGAAATGTTTATCAGTTTATAGTTTCCCATAACACTGTTAGGTAAGTTTGCAATTATCCGTATTTATTGTTCAGAAACTATGTGATAAGAGTGAGGGAAAGATGTCTCACCATGCATTTAAGATGAACAGTCTGACCAGCCACAAGCTCTATGTAAAACATGACTTCCTGGGGCATGTACAGCCAAAACAATGGGAAGCTGGTAAGTCCATATACAGGGTGGGCCAAAAAAAACCAATACCCAACTTTAAATCAGAATGAAAATAGCTATGTTTAATATGTTACATTGATTTATGTATCATTTTAAAGGTAATCCATTTCCGAACAATTTGGTATATAACAATATGTCATTAAATCAATATTAAAGTTTTATTATGCTTATTTGGGAGGCCGGGTCGGTATTTAAGGTATTCAGATTTTAGGGAGAAAATAGTAAATCTGCGGAATAATGTTAATTTTTTATTTATAGAATATCATTTTGTTAGGTGAATACATGCTTGTATATTTGCATATTGTGTGACTAAACTTATTGTTTAGGAATTTTAGTGTTGTCTATTATCATTAAGTACTCAAAGGGGGTCTGTTAAAATACATTAAACGTATATGTGACGAGGATTTTATTTTTCAACAAGACATTGCCTCGTACCATAGATCAAAGGAGACATTGGCATTTCTTTGCAAACAAGGTGTCAATTTGATGGATCTCGATGCTTGGCCACCCAACAACCCCGATGCTAATGTGTTTGATTACCATACATGGAGCCATCTTAAAGAAATGGTACAATCAAAAGCATCCAATAAACAGCATTGATGAGCTGAAACAGAATCTTAAAGTGCTGAAATGAATTGCAACAGAAATCTCTCAATAAGGCTATTGATAGATTGCGCTATCACTTGAAGCTTATTATCCCAACGAACGAAGTTCGGAGGGATATAGGGAACGCCTCCGTCCGTCCGTACGTACGTCCGTCCGTCCGTCCGTACGTACGTCTGTCCGTCCGTCCGTCCGTCCGTCCGTCCGGGCAATAACTCAAATACCGTTGGCCCAATTTTGTTCATATTTTGTACACATATACCCTATGGGGGTAGAAGTTCTGCTCGAAAGCCGATTTTCAAAATGGCCGCTCATTTCAAAATGGCGGCCATTTTAGTGCCGATATTACAGTAATTTAGGTGTAATATGTAAAACTGTAATAGCAATATGTTTTAAATGTAAAAAAATTATAAAGGACATTAATAATGCTACAAATGTAGATATTAAAGAAGCACATGGCAGCCATCTTGAAAAATGGCGGCCTTTACTCGTCATTTTACGATTTTTGCTATAACTCAAAAAATAGTGGAGCGATTTTGTTCATATTTGGTATGTGAATACTATAAGCATTGCACACTGTCTAAAAACACTTTTGGTAGAAGGCGGCCATTTTGAAAAATGGCCGCCATTTTAACGTATTTTACTATAACTCGAAAAGTAGTGGAGCGATTTTGTTTATATTTGGTATGTAAAAACTATAAGCATGGCACACTGTCCTATGACACTTTTGGTAGAAGGCGGCCATTTTGAAAAAAAGTTGAAAAATGGCCGCCATTTTAACGTATTTTACTATAACTCGAAAAGTAGTGGAGCGATTTTGTTCATATTTGGTATGTGAATACTATAAGCATTGCACACTGTCCTATGACACTTTTGGTAGAAGGCGGCCATTTTGAAAAAACAATTGAAAAATGGCCGCCATTTTAACGTATTTTACTATAACTCGAAAAGTAGTGGAGCGATTTTGTTCATATTTGGTATGTGAATACTATAAGTATTGCACACTGTCCTATGACACTTTTGGTAGAAGGCGGCCATTTTGAAAAAAAATTTGAAAAATGGCCGCCATTTTAACGTATTTTACTATAACTCGAAAAGTAGTGGTTTGATTTTGTTCATATTTGGTATGTGAATACTATAAGCATGGCACACTGTCTATTTCTAATGACACTTTTGGTAGACGGTGGCCATTTTGAAAAATGGCCGCCATTTTAACATATTTTACTATAACTCGAAAAGTAGTGGAGCGATTTTGTTCATATTTGATATGTGAATACTTTAAGCATGGCACATTGTCTAATAGAACTTTGGGGAGTAGTTGGCCATTTTGAAAAATGGCCACCATTTTTATGTGTGTAATTTTACAAGTACGTGTGAGATTTTTCAAAAATTTTAGAGGTGGCTACTTAAAAGCATATTATTTCTTCTGATGACAACTTGGCTAGTGAGCAACCATTTTGAAAATGGTGGCCTTTCTGGTGTGTTGTTTTATGATATTTGCTATTCGTTTGTAAAAATGCCAGCCATTTCTGTTCGATGGGATTCGCTACGCTTTGGCGTTGCCGTTGTTCTGGTTGTTGATGCAGAGGGGAGTGGGTGGGGGTATATTGAGCAATTCTTAAAACTGTTTAGATAAATAAAGTGTAAAATGTGATTAAACAACACTGAAATTCATAAACAATAATAGTCACACAATAATGCAAATATCAATATCCAAGCATGTATTCACCTAACAAAAGAACGATATTCTATAAATAAAAAATTAACATAATTCCGCAGATTTACTATTTTCTCCCTTAAATCTGGAGACCTTAAATAGCAACCCGGCCTCCCAAATAAGTATAATAAAATTTTACTATTGATTTCATGACATAGTGTTATATACCAAATTGTTTGAAATTGTATAACCTTTAAAATGGTATGTAAGTCAATGTACCATATTGATTGTAACTATTTTTATCCTGATTTGAAGTTGGGTATTGGTTTTTTTTTGGCCCACCCTGTATATCTACAGTATATAGGCAGTTTCAAAACATTTTCTTGTATATTTTTCTTGTAAAATGTTTCTTGTATATTTTCTTGTATTTAAATGGTATGGGAGGGGTTCTTAGTGCCCAGGGATCTTCATATGGCAAATATAACATATCCTCAAGTTCAAGAGGGATGGACAAAATGAATACTAGTAGTTTGTTCATACTGACCCGTGAATGTAATGCCACCTCATAGACTAGCATGTATTTGGCAGTTTTATCTCATGAATCATTTTGAAAAAAGTACCCTTTGCATTCGTTTGACTTCACTTCTTAAAAGAGAGCTTCGTCTTCACTCTTTCAGTTTACAATAAATCTCTGATCTCACGGAGCCAATCAGAGTTCGTCATCGAAATATGGACGACTTTTCTATATGGTCATTTCCTCTGACATGCCGGCATAGTTAATGAGCACGTATTTAGCACACATTCCTTCCACTTCGCTGATTGGTTGAGAAAGGGTCAGCATGGTAGATTTGAAATGATTTATTACCCGGGCTGTCACAGGCACCAATCTTTGGGGCGGGACTGCTAAACTGTAATATAGTCTATACAAGGCAGAGGGTAGTTCATAACTAGACTCTGCGTGCAGGGTAGAAAAGAAGCAACATTTTTGTTCATTTTCAGCAAATCGGTCTTCTTGTATATTGACAGCATTGGCTTAACATTTTGTCCATACACCCCAAAATCGCACTATGAAATCACAGTACTGTATGGTACATTAAGAATATAGTACCATACTGTACAGTTGGCTGTGTACAAGCTGACTTAAGTGAATTCCATTATCTTCTTTACAGGAATTCCTCTCCAGATGTTTAACATCATCTGCCAGAGCAAGATAGACTTCAAGCAAAAGCAGTTCCTTACATATCTTATCAATTGTTGCATCACAGAAGAGAGCATCTTCAGCCTCGGGAGAACTCAGACATTTTTACTCATTGCTGGTCCTATGCTAAAGGTAAACTGTTTCATTTTCTGCTTATCACCATATAAAGGTATAGTGAATTGAAAGTCCGTATTTCAGATGAGGGAGGAAGGGGGTTGGGGCACAGTCCGGCATTACTATACTTTTACTTAATTTGGTGGCCATTTTAATTTGGCAGATCAGCCAAATTTTAAAGGTCCACCAAATTCCCTGGTAATTTTAATACCATTAGTACATTGTAATATAATTGCCAAAGATTGCCAACTTCAGTCCGCTAAATATTCAAAACAGCAAATCTGACAAAACAAGTTGCGCCAAATTAAGAAGAAGAACAGTATACATAAACCTACTCCTGTATATTCATCATTGTGAAAGATGTCAGCCTTTTAACAATACCTTTGTAGCCTTCTTAGTAAGGCAGAGATGGTCTGAGTATTAGAATGTGTATGAGGGTTGTCCCAGAAGTAATGCACTATTTGCTCTAACTTTATCAAGATTTTTCCATGAAATTTTCAGTGAATTGAATGATCTTTGAAGATATTTTGATTAGAGTAAATAGTGCATTACTTCTGGGACAACCCTCGTATTCAGTGGTATACCAGGCTTTAGCATTAGGGGGAGTTTTATTTCTCATGTTCATGTTTCATGTTTATATTCCAGGCTATACTTGGAGAGGTAGCTGACACACATATGAACTATAATTTATTTAGCAGGACCAGGGGTGTGAAGATTCTACTGAATATCATCTTTGATATTGAGCAAATAGGAAAGGTAAGGCATACACATCTTTATCCATCAAGGTGTTTCATATGACTGAAGGAATACATTAATTAAACAGTATGAGTCATACATGAGCTTTCTCCATTGTCGTCATGCAAATACCAGGGTACATTGAATAAATCAACATACATACCATATATAGATTCATCAGCTTGAGAGTGAGAAATAAGTGATGGCTAATGGACCGAAGCAAGTATATGCTGAATATTGTCAGCATATATAGGAAAGTAACAGGATAAATAGTCCATACTTCAGTTTTCACCAGTGCATGTACATCATGATTTTAAATCGATTAACGTCCCATACTATAATTTTGACTAGATCTTTCCTGTCAATGTTACAGATATTGCCTGTTTTAAAATCTAATATAACCAGTTTACAATCTATCACTTTTAAGTTGTTGTTTTTTTATTCCAGTGGAGAAGTGATGACTTCTTTCCTCCGCTAACAATTGCTTCTTCAAGCAAAACTTTAAGGGTATGTATATGATGTAATATCAAGGTAAATACTATAGGTAGTATAATGATAAATGGTTATTTGCTTATTTGTCGCATCCTACATACTGCTAATTTTTGAAATAGCGGTCAGAAAAATAACCAAATAAGGTGAAAAACCAAAAATATGTAAGATTAATAGTTTTGGATGATTTTCAGGGTAAGGATCAAACCTTACATCTTGTGAAGATGACCCCAAAATTGGATCTTTTTGAAGTGCTCCCCCATCCTACTTTAGTGAAACTCCCCATGTTTGTGTATCACTTATTGGCTGGAAAGTTGCCCTACAGAACTATACCAGAACTCGAGTAAGTTCAATGCTGCTCTAGACAGGACCTTGAATATTAACAAAGCAAACTTAAGCCAAAGGGGATATACAGGGTGTCAAATAAGTGCCGTCCCTGGCTACAGATAAAACCTTTTTAATTTAAGCATGTTCCCATATTGAGCAAATAGAGAAACACCAATGGTCAATGTAATGCGCTTTCTATTGCTAAGACATGGCCATGCTCAGAAATACCTCTATACAATAGTATGCAAATAGTGACTACATGGAAGGAAATAGTGCAAAATATGCTATGTGATTGGTGATAGGGATTTAGAACTTTCCATTAGTTCAGCTTTTTATGTCCCCACCACATAGTGTGGGGCCATATTGTCGGCCTAGGCGCGTCCGTCCGTCTGTCTGTCCGTACTGTTACAGTATTATATTCTATTATATTCACATTGAGTTTAGTTTATCAATATGCATATACTGTAACTGATCTTCATTAGAGATCTTAGGTCAAGTCAAGGTCACAATGACATTATATCTTGTAAACATAACTGAACTGAATGACTCATTAACTCTTGGCCTTCTAGAAAGTACTGGAACTGTAATCATTTAATCAAGATTGAATCATGTGACTTAAGATGTCCAATCAGTGTTATTTTCTAGAAATCGTAACTTCTTGAAACATCTGGACTATGCCTTTGCACTATATAATGAGAGAGCTGATTTGGGCTGACAGCAGAATTTCAAAGTTTATCAAAAGGACATCTTCTTAGCAGATAATTACTGTGGGAACATTTATAACACTACAAACATACAACCTGAGGACTTTATATGGACATATATTACAACACACACTATATACGGATTATCATATACATTTGTGGATTATCATCAAACATTATTGGATACAAACATTATAGGATTACAACAAACATTATTGGATTATTACAAACATTGGAGAACTATTAACGATTATTGAAACATTTCGTGATCTGGAACTTTCTCAAGGATCGTCAACGACATTTATCGACATCAAGAATAAGCCGTATCATTGATTGGACATCACTTAAGTATTAAACCTCCTTTATATTATTGTTATATTATTTAGTTTTCAAAATATAAATAAATTGTTATCATATTTTAATTGCTGTTTTTACTTTCTGTTATTTTCGAACGTAACAGAAATTGGGGGCTTGTCCGGGATACAACTACAACAAGCTAAAATTCAAATATTTCAAAATTCAAAATTCAAAATTTGTATATTTAAATTGTGAAGACAGCAATTAATTGAAAATGAGTTTTGAGGTTGAGACATTTTTAGAAGCGCCCTCTTTGGAGGAATTTGATGATTTAAAGAAAACTGAACTTCTGGCAATTGCAAAACATGTTGGCCTGTCAGTCAAAACCTCATACAATAAAGGTACAATCAAAAACTTTGTACTTCAATATTTGATAGCAGAATCACTTCTGCCTGAGGAGCCAGCCCAGCATGTTGAGCCTGCTGATCCTATTAAGCTCAAAGAACTTGAATTGAGAGAGAAAGAATTGCAAAATGAAAGAGAAATGAGAGAGATTGAACTTAGATTACAAAATGAAAAAGAAATAAGATTGAGAGAACAAGAAATTCAAAAAGAAAAAGAAGTTGAATTAAAACGACTTGAATTAGAAGCTCAATCAAAAACTGATGAACATGCTACTATGCATCAACATTTTGAAAATAGGTTTGACGCTTCAAAATTTCTCAAATTTGTACCTAAATTTCAAGAGAAAAATGTTGATAAATACTTTACACATTTTGAAAAAGTTGCTCAGAGCCTAGACTGGCCTAAATCTGCATGGCCAGTTATGCTCCAGAGTGTATTCATTGGTAAAGCAAGTGAAATATTTGCCTCTCTCTCAGGAGAAGTATGCTCTGATTATGACCTAGTTAAAAATGCAATTCTTAAAGCTTATGAACTAGTACCAGAAGCTTACAGACAAAAATTTAGAAATGCCCACAAACAGAGTGACCAAACCCATGTTGAGTTTGCTCGGGAGCAAGAGCAGCTTTTTGACAGGTGGCTTGTCTCAAAGGATGTATCTGAAGAGTTTAAAAAGCTCAGAGAGCTTATGCTAATAGAACAATTTAAAAACTGTGTTCAATACCACATTAGAACTTATTTAGATGAACACAAGGTAGAAACTTTAAGTCAAGCTGCCACCTTGTCTGATGATTATGCTCTTACTCATAAGGGTAGTTTTATCAAGGGCAATCCTAACTTTAGAGGTTATCAAGGTAACAAACCTTCATATGATACAAAATCAAACCAGTCCTCATCATCAAATACATCAAACAAAGCAAAAGACCAGTCTAATTCATCACAGAGTTTTAGCTCAAAATCAGATCAATCAAAATCGTCAGGTCCAACATCAAATGTCACCTGTAACTATTGTAAAAAGCCTGGTCATCTTATTTCTGAATGTTATAGGATTAAGAATAGAAGAGAGATGTCTGGTTCTGCTCATTCAAATGGTTGTGCTACAGTTCCCATTTCAAGAAAGCCCATTGTTTGGGATTCATATACTCATACTGAGAAATCTACTCATGGTGATATTATGGAGGATTATAAGCCTTTCATGTCCGAAGGATCTGTGTCACTGTCAAGTGATGGTACCAATTCAAAGCCAATTAAGATTCTTAGAGACACGGGTGCATCTCAGACTTTGTTGTTAGAAGGCGTCCTTCCTTTATCTGAGGAGTCATTCACAGGTACCCATATTTTGATGCAAGGCATTGAATTAGGATTTACTAAAGTTCCCCTCCATCGTATTCATATCACATCAGAGTTAGTCAAAGGGCCAGTTATTGTTGGTGTTAGGCCACAACTTCCTGTTGAAGGAGTCGCATTGCTTTTAGGCAATGATTTAGCTGGGGGTAAGGTATCATTAGACCCCATTGTTTCTGATCAGCCTTGTTCTATTGAGGATTCTGTCCAAGAGGACTCTGATATATATCCTGCTTGTGCTGTTACTAGGGCTATGGCTAAAAAGTTAGCTGATAGCGGGGATTCGTCTGTGGGAGATGACTTTGATAGTGGGTTTTTAAGCTCCTTGTTTGATGATGAATGTCACTCACCACTTGTTAAAGATGATCCTTATCCTATTTTTAAGGCACATTCTTCATTGAAACAGCCTTCTGTTCAAGCCAAGCAGTCATCTATTGAGGCAAATTCTTCATTGAAAAAGCCTATTGCCAGAGGTGATTCACCTTCTGAGCAGGATCACTATTTTAATGCGGTTTCGCCCGCTCTTGCTAGTCCTGATGAAGTTTCATCTTCTTCTGCTAGTGTTCATGAGGTTTCATCCCCTCCTTGTTCTGAGGTTTCATCCTCTTCTAGCTCTGAGGTTTCATCCTCTATTTCTGATAGTGATTCTTTGAAAAAAGATCCTCATTCTAAACACATATTAATTTATGAACAAGAGCATGATCCATCACTCATTGATCTTCATAAAAGATGTCTTACTATTGATGAAGCTGACAAGGTCCCTGTTTGTTTCTACAAAAAGGATGGCATATTAATGCGAAAGTGGAGACCTCCTGAAGCTTCCTCTGAAGACGATTGGGCAATTGTACATCAAATTGTTGTCCCAAAATCGTATCATAAGGAAATCTTGAGTCTAGCTCACGATTCTCCCATGGCAGGTCATTTAGGAGTAACTAAAACATACCATAAAATACTCAACCATTTCTATTGGCCCAAATTAAAACAAGATGTCCAAGAGTATTGTAGGTCTTGCCACACATGTCAAATGGTAGGGAAACCTAACCAGAAAATTCCAATTGCTCCTTTACACCCTATACCTGCATTTGATGAACCATTTAGTAAGGTTCTTATTGACTGTGTTGGTCCATTACCAAAAACAAAATCTGGTAATCAATATTTACTCACTATTCTTTGTATGGCCACACGGTTTCCAGAAGCGATTCCACTTAGAAATATCAAAGCCAAAAACATAGTGAAATCACTCATCAAATTTTTCACCTTAGTTGGACTGCCAAAAGATCTCCAGTCTGATCAGGGCTCAAATTTCATGTCAGGCTTATTCCAACAAGTCATGGATACCTTGGGTATCAAACAGTGTAAGTCAAGTGCCTATCACCCAGAGTCTCAAGGAGCTCTTGAGCGTTACCATCAGACGCTTAAGACCATGATTAGAGCTTTCTGTTTTGAATATGAGAAAGACTGGGATGAGGGCATACCCTTGCTTCTGTTTGCTACCAGGGAGGCTAAGCAAGAATCATTAGGGTTCAGTCCATTTGAGCTAGTATTTGGTCATTCTGTGCGTGGTCCACTTAAATTGCTAAAAGAAAAGTGGCTGACTAGTGTGTGCCAAATTGCTTTCTAAGTGGCTTAGTTAGGCTAAACCTATGTTGTGGTAGCTTACTATGAATTGACCCATAGTCATTTTAGATTGATCTATTATCTATTCATTTTTACTTGTCTGCAGTCAAAATAGTGACACGAAAGGGCTAAACGGCTTGCACCAAGGTGCGACTGTCAAAAAGATGAGTTTGAAAAATATACATTTTTTTAAATAATACTTGTAAGTATACAAAATAAGATGCAAATTTGATATTGATGTGTAATGATAGTCCGTTCGGGTGTGGTAATTTTATGAAAAACAATTATGGTAAAAAATTGGATATTTATGACCTTAAAATGCGATTTCTATTAAAAAGTTACTGTTGTCAAGGATATTATTCCTATTTTATATAGTCAGTGTTTTTTAAATATACCAATAACCATTTCATTAGTTTTTGACAAAGTAAATAATTATAGGGCTCACACAAGGATCAACTTTGTTCATAGCATTTTCATATAAGTGATGTTTTGAAAAAATATGAAGGTAAACTCAATTTTATTTTTTATTTGTTGAAGAAAAAACAATTATATGTTTGTTTTCCTGTTTCGACAGAAAAATCTCAATTCATCGCCCTTGCTTCGCAAGCAGGAGAGTCTACACCAGTACGAAAAAGTCTTCAAAAAGTTGATC